CAATATACTTATACGAATAAAACCATTTGATTAATTACATAGCGTATGAATCGTAAATACGTAAAAGAGTTGTTCAAGAATTAATGAAATTGATGAATGTTGAGAGGCTTCACCCACTTGTTCATAACAATATCAAGTCCGTACAAAGAAAATATCCTAAAATAGAAACTTAAACACCCACACCCTAGACAAGACTTAATTCACCTCGTACAAGACCACCAGACATGGTAGACTCTAATCTGAATAGTGGTTGATCCCAACGGGCACTAAACCTAAGGGACATGATGATGATATATATTTAGATAAATCGGATCATGCTCATACGTCAAATTCTAGTTTGGTGATGAAGAAGAATAAAATAATTATATTAATTTTTGTTTATGACAATTTCAAAATACCGATAATCAACAAATATTCAGCTCAAAACATGAATTAACTGTCAATATTGACAATTATTGATTCACTTAACATTAACATGTCAATATGTTATCATTGACAAACTTTGTACAAAACTACAACACATGTTAATACTATATAGAATAGAATTTATACCATCATTTATTAGTTCTTTTTTTTTCTTCTTCTAAAATTCTTTTGAATTCATTTGATACTATATGTTATAAGACTATGTGAATATGTAACATTAATCAATGACAAATGTTCAAATTATCTTACTAAATGAACATAGTGACAAGTTACATTTATGATAGAAAAAAAACGATTATAATTGACTGGCATTTACCATATTTCTTAAGAATCGTGTCCTTGTTCTAATCGGAAATAGATTAATTTCAATCTCGTGATATCTTCTACAGAAAGTTCAATGTATTTATATATGTCAGGTTTTTTCAAGAATAAATCAACTCAATCATCATCATTAAGATCATGGTTAAAACAAAAAAACATCTGTTAATTTCATCGAAATCTTACCTCAATAATATAGTCATATACATTATAGAATTTAATAACACGATAATAAATTTCATGATTACATAATCAACAATTATTTTCAAAATCACAACTTTGTCATTGACAATCAAGGAGATATTGTAATTTTTTTACACATGCATGCAATTGTATATACACATAGGAATTTCTCAACGCAATATTAAACAAAGATTAAATGGAATAATAATAAGGAAAGTAGAATAATATAAGTTCTATAAATTGGTTTTTTTTTGCTAAACGCGATCTATTTACGTTACATTGTCGAGGTCATTTATATGTTATAGTCATCCAAAAAAAAAAAAGAAGTTGTCCTTCCATCTATATTTAACATGCTATATGAAAAACTAATGTTATTTATTTTTTATTAATAATAATAGTAAAAAAAAAATTGAATTGCTTGTCGTAATTTAAAACTGTAATAGAGTATATGATCTTTTTTTTTCTAAAAACATACTTATGGCTGTCAATAACATACAGGAAATATTATTTTATAGACTGTTCACTTCACTAGTTGATTAAATATCAAAGAGTAGAAAAAATTCATTTCCCGATGTATTATATTTGTGCCGACAGCATTACTATATATATATATATATATGATACATGTGTAAACGTTTTATTTAATGATTTATATTTGTAATTATTTTATGCATAGATGATTTTCATTTAGTTTTTGTTTTCTAAAAAGATATATATATATTTGATCTTTGTGGTATGACCTTGAAATGAAACATTAAATCATTTTGAGAATATATATATTGGATAGATCAATATATGTCAACTATTTTCTCGCTTTTTATCTGTCTAGAAATCAATGAACTATGCGTGTCAATATGATTCATGAGACAAGGACATTGTATTGTAGAAGATAATTCTCTTGTTATTCTTTTTTTTCCTCATTGATTAAATGATTTTCAGACTTCTAACGAAACGACAATGATTATCCATCGTTTTTTTTGTGTTCTTTTTCTCTGGCGACAGTACGATCTTGATTAAGCTATTTTCTTTCTTTTTTTTCTTTTCTCGTTCTCTTTTGTGTCTCGTAATCAATGCGGTGTTCATTCACTTACTAGAACAAACATGCACGACGTTATTACCATCATCATTCATATGAACTTTTCAATAATATTGAGACAACATATATATATATAGCTAAGGTAAGATTTATCTTGAAACAATATACAATGAATAGACAAATCTAATTACTGATTAATGACTCTTTTTACACGTATTTTGAATGTGTGCTACGTATGTATAGGCAATTATATACGTATAATACTTACACTTCAAACAAAAAAGAGTAAGGAACTGTTGAATAGCATAAAGACTTTGTAGTTGATTAATTGACCTAGTCAAAATACAATTGCCCATTGGCTTCTTTTGTTGCTAGCAATCGTCGACATCCATCCGATAGTAGAAATTAAATGCACGAAAGAACAAGAAAGAAAAGCCGCTTTATCAAACGATTAACTTACATCTCTATAAACTACCTGTTTATGTACGTGCTATAAAGACACAGATGGTCAGTATACTATATAGACAAGCTACATTACACCTAGACATTTTTCAATTTCTTTTTTTTCCCTTCTGACACTTATATCTAACAACATATTTACGAGGTAAGTAATGATAGTAAGAGAGAAGATTGACTATTTACCAGACGGACCGGGTGGTTCGCTCATTCTCAACAGGAGGAGCAACTCAAGAGAATAGGAAAAGGGTACAATAAATGTGTAAACACAAGTCAAGTAGAACGATTGATATCGAAGGAAAGGCAAAGAATCGATCATCATTTAGTAATGACGAAGCTGAAGTTGACTGACTGACTGTTCAATAACCAAATACAGACGCTAGAACACAAATATATATAGATATAGAATGAAAAAAAAAAGATGAGTAGTAGTCTGTTTAATACACTAACAACACAGAATATGATGCAATTTCCTTCCAACGATCTAATTATCAATATAAGGTCACATTGATTAGATCTAAAGAGTAAGAAAAAAAATACATTGATTATGTTTATAATAATAATAATAAGTTTGAAGTTCTTTCTTTTCTTTTCCATTTCCAATACATACCAAGAGAAAGTTTGAGTACAAACTATGTTTTCTTCGTGATAAATTTCGTATTTTTGAGTTTTTATAATCCAACTAGAATTAATGTATTTAAATCATTTCCTAAAGCTGTATGTTGATATGCATAGTTGATCTATTGTGTTCGAACTATATGCACGAGATTATTATTGAAGGAGGAGTCGTATTTAGTTACTCTATATCTTTGATCTATACTATTAATAATAATGGTTGTAGGATGAAACTTAGACAAGATCGATCATTTTCGTTAGATTAAAGATTATCGTTGAACTGATTTCATTACATACATTCAGCTATAGTCATTGCCTTCAACAAGACACATTTGACTTTTTATCAACATTCATTGATGACATCCTGTCTCTCACGCTCTTTTCTCTTCTTCTATCTTCAAAGTTAATATATGAATTGTTTTGATCACGCATCCTAATCCAATAAGCATCAACTAATTCTAAATGATAGTTTAACACGCATATGTCTAGTATTGTGTATATTTTAATGTTTAGAGATCTATTTTATAGAAGATCATTTTGTATATGAAAAGTGTGCTGTTTCATCTATCATTTATTTATTATCTGAGATTCAGCTAATATATCATATAAAGCCAACGGCAGCTGTTCATATTACATCAAATGTATCATATCATGGATATGATCAAGTAAAAGATATACAAATGTATAATCTTAAAAACAATGAATACTCCTCAAGAAGAACAGAAAAATTATCAAAGATAAATACCGATATATAATTATTATTATAACCTTAATCTTGACAAATTGATACTCATCGAAGCGTTACTTGATAGACATATGAGCTTTCATTGTATATATATTGATAAATGCTATATCATTTGTCTTCAAGGTAAGTGATCATAGATTAATATTACATTGACCAAATCTATATTAGCCTTGTTCTAAACATTTATTTTTTGTTCTCTCATCTAGATTTATCAATCATTCTCTTTTTTTCTAAGTTAATCCTACTATTCAATGTTTATCATTATCTTCTGATTCCACTTTCATTCAATTATATGTATCTAAACTTTTTAATATTATTATTTCAAGTAGTTTTATATAGATAGCATCCGTTAGTGGTAGTAGTAGATGATGTTAAGTGTCAATGAATTATTCACATGCAATGTGTACATAGACAGTCTATAAGAGAGATTTGACATTCTTCATAAGATAAGTAATTGAAGAGTAGAATGATGATAGAGAGAAGCAAACATCCGTCGACTTAATTTGTTGTAAGGCGGAGTGTAGTAAAAAAAAAGAAGAGAGGAGAAGAAGAAATGCAAAATTAATCGTACTCATAGTTCTTGTATTGCTTGCCGGAAGTTTATTCATTGCCCGATACAATATGTGATTTAAAGAAAACGACTTTTATTCCATTTTTGTATCTTTTTTTTTGATAAGAGAAAAAGAAAGCAAGAAACTTCGTTATCGAACAATGAACGAATAGACGGTAAATAAAAGTCACTTATTTTAATTAAGTTATATCCAGAATACTTTTATTTTAATAGAAGAAGAAATGAAACGGATTCTTATTGTTTTTATACTTAGACAAAAAAAAATTATTCATATTTCTTTCATCATAATTTTACGTTTAGTCGGATTATAGAAAAATAAATTTCGTGTTAAACTGTTATATACAGGAAGTCTGATCGGATTATTTTTAGTAAAATCTTATCAAACTCTTTTTGTTTGCCGTCATTACTAGTCACATATTGTGTTTACATGCCGTCAAAATAATGACAATGGACACATGTATTTGTCTCTACACAAAATGTGAGAAGAAAGAAATAAAACAGAACGACAAGAGAAAAAAAGGAATTGAATAATATATATATATATATACATTCGAAATTCTTTTTTGTTTTCAGATATGTATATAATAGATGATGGTGAGACATCATAATGAAAGATGTGATAATATACAACAAAAAATGGATATATTAACATGTTTCTTTTAAAAGGTATATACTTAGTTTTATCAATATTTTTGTTATGATCTCTATATTGTAGTTCCTTCGATATTATTATTTATTATTAACATCACATATTCTATGTATTATTTGACGAATTTTCATGCTCACTATCCTGATGCTCGTGTAATTATTGCAAATTGTGGTGATACAATATCACTCTCTTGTCCAAGTGAATCTGAAAATCATGCATCATCATCATCATCAGTAAAATAAATTTTTAACGTATATATATATATATAAATAATTTGACTTTTATTTAAGACGCCAATTATGTGGTTTCGTTTATATGAGAATGCCTATCCGCAACCATTGATACTTGGTGATCGTCAATTAAGTGATGATCAACGTTTTATGCTTCGTACACAAAATAATGACCGACATTTAGAAATCGTCGGTATAAGAAAAGATGATGAAGGATATTATTTATGTAAATCTGGAAATATTCAATCAAGTTATAATATAACAATACTTAGTATGATATATCGCAAAAAAAGCAGATTATTGATCTTTATTTTTTTTTTAGGTAATACATGTATTGATATTATACCAGATCATATTCATACAAATGCGGATGAACCTATTTATCTTATTTGTCGTATACGTTCAATAGAGAATTCTAATGAAGTTAATTCACAAGTTGAATGGACACGTAATGATTATTTATTAGATAATAATATGACTGAATCTAGTTCAAATTATTCATCAATCGATAGTATATTATATGAAACATTAACTATAAAAAATGCAACTCGAAATGATACTGGTATTTATCGATGTCGATATGGACAAGATCTAACAGCAACAGCTCAAGTTATTGTCAATCAATGTATGATTTCATCATATATATATATATATATATTCATTTTTTTCTGTGTCTTTATTCTAGATCCCAATGGTAGTAAGGCGCGTCGTCTAATATCACAATTAGGTGGTAACAGTTCATCATCGAAAGCATCATTACGAACAGTAAACAGTTGTTTTTATATTGTCTATGAAATTGTTCTTGTCACACTTGTTGCACTATCGTAAAAGAAATATATATATACATACATAAATTTTATTATTATTTCAGATGTTACGAAATCTTCACAATGAGTTGTGATGAGAAAGGAAAAAGAAATGAGCGAAGAAAATAACAACAAGCTGTTCTTTTTCTTTTTCTTTATCTCAATTGCACATTTAATTTTTTAATGTGTCTATTTGATAATATTTGTTGATTCATCAAATCATATAATGTAAATTCCAAAGAGATGTAAAATGTTTATTTTTCATTTATGATTTATTTTATCAAATACCTATAATTCATATCATGAGATGTTGTAGTATGAAAATGTCTATAAATAGCAAAGAAAAGATTTTTTTTTAATAAACATGCAAGATGTGAGAGAAATTTTCTAAAGGAAATAATTGTATGTATTACTTTGTTGATACGTCACTCACGTTCATCTAACTAATAAAAATATCATTTAAATATAGTGCATGCCATATTCTTATAACAAATAAAACGAACGTAGTTAACGAATGCAATAACTTTATATTACTTCCCCAATCTTTTTTCTTATAACAGAGGAAGCAATTACTTCCTTTTTAAAAAGGAACTTCATGTTTTTCCAGGTGTTGCAGTAGTCTAATAAAATGATGAATACAAAGAATATGACTACGTGATAAATGACTGATAGATACAGTCAATAAGATATGTAATGATGAAGAAGATTATTTTTTGAATCTTTTCCTATTTTATTGGAATATCGTATTCAGTGACTTTTACTGAACTAAATAATATATTTGATTAGATAGATAAAAGAAACATGAATCCAACCTGCCGTCTATGATTTGTAGTCATATGTCTATATATAAATAAGAATAAAGACTGACATAACTTATCTTTGTAAGTGGTCAGAATTTCTATATATGTTTATATTTTTCCTGACGAACGAAAAGTAAAAAAGAGAGAAAAATGAAAAATAGAGAAATCGTATTATTTACTGCACGACACTTTCGTATTTTCTTCGACTAGTAAATAGACACAGATATCTCGTCGTTATATTAAACAAGTATGATAAATTTAAACTGTATAACTTTAAATAAAAATTTTCTATTATAGAATGCATTTAACTATAACCCTCGCATTGTTATTCTGTATTTCTGCCGTAACTATTAATGCAGCAGAAACATGTCAAGGTCCAGCAATTGATTCGCAAGAAGATTTCAAATGGAAATATGATGCCGCACCAATTGTTGTTTATGGAAATGTAATTAATGTCAAAGATACCATGGTTACATTAACAGTTAATTGTACACTTAAAGGTTCATTAGATACTGCAAGAATCGATGTTTCTCAACTTTGTTAGTATATTGAAATATTTATATTAAAAAAACACATTTAAATTTTTTCTAGCAACAGTAGCAAATACAACTGAATGCCATTACTTGTCAATAAACAAGAACTACATTGTTTTCATTGATGAAATGAAACCAACAAGTGCTGGTAGTAGATCTATTTATCGATTAGCTGATTTGGAAGAAATCGAAATTAATGCTAATACAGCCAAAAGTTTCATGAATGATGAATGTACCGATGAAGAAGATAATGGAATTGAATTAACAATGTTCTTTAGTGATAAAGATCTTAAATGTAATCAATTCACTGCTACTTGCAACGGTTAGTTTTTTTTTAAAATCAAATCAAATCAATATTGATTCGGAATATTTTAGAAGCCAACAAGGCATCAATTATTGCTCTTAATTACGGACCATTAACAAAATCAAGTACTTTCTTAGGAGGATTTAGAAAAACAATGCCAGTACCAAATATGGATTCTACTGATGGTATTTCAGGTAAAAATACAGGCACTGGTGATGAACAAATGCGTGGTACTGCTACAATCTCAACAATGTGGATGTCAATGATCGTCTTTCTTGCTGGTTTAATGATGACACGCAATATTTAAATGAAGAAAACTTATGATTATGTTTGAACATTCCTTTTTTTTACTCATAACATGCTTAGTTTTCTTTGTTTTTTTTTTCAAAATTCTGTCTTCAGTTGAATGTTTTAAATAAAAGATCCTAGTTTATTTGAACACCATTCTAAGGAGACTAAAATATTTTCTTTTGTCGAGACATGTTTTTCAAGTCGTTTGTTAAACAATACATAAATTTATTCAGTCACATTTCCTGATCGTAAGCGCAAAATCAATGGACGCGAAAACAAATTAGTTTACATATATAGAAAATTATATTTGATTTATAAAGAACTATGAATTTCCGTTTTGATAAAAATCTAAAGATAGTTTTATTTTAAAAATAAATCAACGAGAACTGATCATTTATATTTAATGTCAATTTGAGAATTATTTTGTATGTTGTGTTGATTGATTTTCTTCTAAAAGTTTATAAAGTGGATCATTAATAGCAACTTTATAATATAATGTTTTTGTTTGATAATAATTATTTAATAATTTCAAATTATCAATAACATCTTGTACAAGATGTCCTCGTTCAATTTCACAACCACATTTCGTATTTTCTAATGTTGTAAAATGAACATGTAAATGATAGAATGTTGGTGGATAATGAAAAAATGCACGAATCTTTGTCGTTGAAATACCATATTTAGTCGAAATAAAATTCTAAATTTTGATTCAATAAAAAATAAATAAATAAATAAAATTATTATATTTACTATTGTTTTTTCAAGAAAAGATTCAAGTAATGGTATATGTTTAGGTTTTAAATCTCGTATACTATGAATATCACGTGATTTAACAAGACCTAATATATGTAATGAATCAATTGCTTTTCCATCCCACATTATATCCGGTAAAATAATAAATTCATCTGTTTCTACTAAGATTCGTTCACGTTCCGATTTGCCATCAATTATATTATAAACCCATTGTGCATCAAGTTGATTTTTTTCAATATATGGTCGAACAATTGTTTCATAAAGATGATAAGTTTCACTGATAAGAGAAAATTCTTTCTTGGAATATTTTTTAATATGTGCTGGTGTAGCAGGATGAATAAATGCTAATTTAATATCTAAGAATATTCAAAAATAAATCAATATTCAAAAATCTTGTTAGAGCAGTCTCATTATTGAAATATTGATGTTAAACATACCATTGCATGCTGATTGTGCTTCAACTGTATATTTATGATAAATATCATTGATAAAATCAACTTTAAATTGTTGTTCATCACCTTTCATTAATTTTGTAACATCATCAAATTGAAATGGTGTTTTTTCAAAAAGAAGTACTGCTGATTTTGTTTCACCATCTTTTGCTTCTACTTCACCTTCAATAGCTACAAATTTCAATTCATGATTATCATTTAAAATTCGTAATAATTTCACATTTTTATTCCATTCTGCCATGATGATATAAGTTGATTTGAAGAAAATCTATCCTCTCTAGCCAGAATATAAACAGCTTTTAGACTACCACGTGTTATATATTCTTTTATTTTATTTTTCTTCGATTAATTCGCACGATTAGTCTATGAAATATCGATTTCTTTTCTTATGTATGTGTAGTGGTAGAGATTACCTCTATAAATCTGAGCATTAATCATTGTTCTATGTTTGTAGAATAGTTTGTTTGCTATTTGATGAAAACAACTGGATGATGCTAAATTTATTTGCTAATAGTTCAATTAAAATTATTGGTTAGTGCATATAAAATGATATATTTTAGTAAAATATGAAAATGCAAGTATATGAAAGATACACAAAACAGTAAATCAGATCTATCTAATGATAAAGAATGACATGTGTTGTTTTGTTATTTTCTAAAAAAAACAAAGCGATCAATCAACGACGAGTTGATTTATAAAATGCTGCGAATATAAATATTAAAAAATAAAAGCTTGTTTAATTAGGCTTTGGCTTATTTGCTCGTTCAGCTTCATCAATTGCAGCCATATCAAGTGCGGCAGTATAAAGATGAATTAAACTGATTATTTGTTTTAATACCATGATTGGTGTTACAGCATAGAGAATAACACGCCAGAGACCAACTGAATAACCACCAAATGATAATACTATGAACAGATAAATATATATAGTCAAATTCTTAAGAATTATATTTTGCTTTTACCTGCAGGTCCTTCACCAAAATGAAGTAGATAGACCATTGAAAACCAAAGTTCATTACCAGCACACATTGTAAAAAGAACTTTCTGAAAGACAAAAAAAAACGATGAATTTTAATAAATTAAGATATTTCAACATACACGTGATGTATAATAAAGACGGAGAATAGGATTGCCTGAAAGATCAATTTTCTTATGACTATCTGAACCTTTAACTGTTGCACTAAAAATATAAGATTATATTTAATCTAATTGAAAAAAAATTCTAGCATACGCATGTAAATGAAGCCAATGACTAGCAACATCAATTGCAGCCCAAAGTTGAAAGAAAAGTGCCCATTTTGGATAAAACATAGCCAAAACAAAACATAAACACATTGTTGAACATCGATCAACTAACATATCAAACATAGCACCAAATTTCGTACCTAAATTTTTCAAATAAATCACAATCTATTATTTATATATATATTTCAATTTTACATTGGCCAAGTGCTCGAGCAGCATGTCCATCAAGTGCATCAAGAAATTCACTTGTTAAATAGCATACAATTGTAATAGTTGGATGTGTTGGCATAAAATAAAATGAAAGAATCGAAAGAAAAACACGTACATAACCTAGAGGAATATATTTTTGTATTTAATAAAATATAATTAATACATTTTTCTTCTTACCAATTATATTTGGTACAAATAAAAATATATTATCAGTTTTAAGTAATCCTTCAAATGAATTACCCACTTGAGATTCTCCAGTTACTCTTCGATTTGTTGCCATGGTATTATTGTTCCTCTTTTTTCAAATCTGAAACAAAGCTTTCATTAGTTAACCAATTTATTAGATCTTATTATCTAACAAAAATATATGAATTTCTCAATGAACAATGGTCGATCCAAAATTAAGTCAAAACATTGAGTTTATCACAGGCTTAAGTCAATCATGATACTAAACGACTATTTCATATGAACTTCACATTTTCAACCATAACCATAGAAATAAATATTTGATAGAGGAAGAATTCTGTATGTATGTGTGTATATATTGCATAATCTAGAGAATGCATGAGTAGGTTAAATTGAATGTCTTTTCTTTTTTCTCGTTTTTCTTCATCATCATGTTTTAGAAATGAGCGAATTGAAGATATAATCAACCAAGAATAAAGCAAAAAAAACAGAATCGTTTTTTTCTCTTGCCTTAACAGCAAAAAGATCGAATGACAGCAAAAAAAAACCGCAACAACAAATGAGAAAAGAAGAAATAAACACAAAAAAGAAAACATAAAGACCTATCTGTATTTTTCAAGAAGACTTTTTCTTTTTTTAGTTTTAAATTTTTTAAACAACACAAAGACAAAAACAACAAAGAAGAAGAAATCTATTCATCGACAAGAAATAAACATACACATATATATATATATATATCTAGCTAAAAGCATCAGACACGAATGAATACATGAACGGAAAAAAAGAAAGAAGAAAGAAGAAGACAATTAAAAGGTCATAGAATTGACCTTCACAAATAAAGTAATAGTGCGCAGCAAGAATAAAGAGACATTTAAACATATACAGATATATATATATTTATGAATTTATTTTCTTGGTCGTAATTTTCGTGTATATTCTTCACTGGGTGGTTCAGGTGTTTTTTTAATAGCACTTGTTCGTGCTGCTGCTTTTTTCGGTGGTGTTTGAATTTTTTCAACTTCATCTTCATCAGCTTCATCATTGATATCACTTGTTGATGTTATGGAAATTTTACTTTTAGCTTTTTTACTTGTATTTGCTGCTGATGTTGATGCTCCACGTTTTTTACGTCCTGGTGATGATGCTTTTTTTCCTTTACCAACAGTTATTTCATCATCATCATCACCTTCAGATGGAATTACATCTTGATCATTTCCATCATCTGCATTGCTACTACCTACATATTAAATTAATAAAAATACATATATATATTAAAAATTTAAATAATCAAAATTTCTATTAACCAGATGTTGAATTTGGTTGATTACTAGCTGTTATAGCATCTTTAGCAATTGCAGCAGCTTGTCGTTTGGTAGGTTTTGATAATTCATTTTGGTTTGTTGTTGTTGTTGCTACATTAGTATCATCGGCTATTTGATTTTCTTCAGCATTTGTTGATGAAGCCGCTTTTCTACCACGTGCCGATTGACGAGTTGGTGTTACTGCAGCTACCACAGGTGCTTTCGCTTTACCACGAGGAGACTAAAATAAAATAATACAGAATAATATAAAAGATTTTTTTGCGAACCTTAGTTTTTGGTTCAGGTGCTTCAGATTCAGTTGCTACAGGTGCCTGTGGAATGCTATCATTAGGTGTCGATTCAACAGTAGAAGAAGGTTCAATCGTTGGTACAGATGATGAACTCTCCTTGGCAGTATCGACTGATGTCGATAATACTGGATCAGATGCAATTGTTCCAGTTTCACTAGGTTTTTCAGTTTCCATTGGTTCAACTTCACTTGATTTTTCAGTTGTAGTTGTTTGAATTTCATCAATTTTTGGTTTTTCATTTTGTCCATTAACATGTACAGCCGAAGAATCACCTTCTTCCATTTTTTCTGTTATACCATTCGTAATATTTTCATTAGATGTTACTTTATCATTTTGTCCATTAACAATTGGTTCTGATGACGATGATGGAACTATTTTGTCATTATCACTAATATCATTATTTGTTGATGGTTGACTTTTTGTTTGAGATACCAATCCACTACCAAATACAGGTTCGGTTGTTGATGGTGTAAATTCGTCGACAGATTGCATTTTATTTTATATGAAATAGGAAATAATCTAGAATATAAGTTTATCGTCGGTAATTTTTCTATGAGGATGAGGAAATGATAAGAAAGATGAAATCATTCTTTCATAATCACTTGATTTTTATCTTTGTTCAAGTTTAAGTGCATAAGCATGTTAATGAATTAATTGAAAAAGACAGAAAAGAAAAGCAAAAGATTAGTTTTGGAATTCTATTTGAAGAATTTTTTGCATCAAAACTAATGAAATCTCAAGATGATGTAAGAATACGAAATTGAAGGAGAAAAAAAACCATGAATGAAAAAGTATTCTTGTACGTCAAATATACCCTTAAAAAATGGCGACTATCACAATTGCATCGCCATTGTTATTTGTATATATACTTTTTCCATCAAATGAGTCATAATATCTGCTTCTTTTTTGTCTATCGATTTGTACGACAAAGGGTATTCAACGGACACTTGAAGGATACAGAATAGAAAAAATTTCCCATTGGTTGATAATTTTCGAATAAGAAAGAACGACGTGTCGCTAAATTATGCTAGAATATATAAAAAATTATTCTAATATTCAAAGCAGAGGACAGCATATTTTATTTCATCTCTTGTTAGAATGTTTTCCAATAAATTAATTCACAATTATTTAACCACGTGCCAAATTTTTCGTTTTCGATTTTACGTGATGTTAAATTCCATAAAAAATCAGCATGTGAAACTAATAGTATTTTTTTATAATTTGGAAAATTTCTTGATTTTAATGTTTCCAAATATTCATTGAGTTCATTGATACGTTTTTCTACACTTTCATCTGATTCTTCTATTAGTATATCTGTTTGTTCACCTTCGAGAAGATCACATTTTACTTTTATTTGTTCACGTAAAAGATAACAGATTTCGAATTTTGTATTAGAAGATAATTGCAAAAGAGAAGAATAATCAACTGTTTGACGACATCGACGTAATGGTGAACAAAGAATGAGATCAAACGAATGCTGAGAAATATTAAGTGTAGCTGCCTGTTGTTGCCCATTTGAAGATAATGAACAATCAATAAAATCATTGTTTATCGGATCCACATTATATTCACTCTCTGCATGACGTGAAAGATAAACTTCCATCTAACAAGACAAGAAAATATATTTTTCAGATGAGTTTTTAAATATATATATAGTGATGGATGAATAATAATTATTCATCAGATATTTATTTATTTCGAAATATATAGAAAAGAAGAGAGAAATGAAAAACACGTTTCTTTTGCTCGTAAATGTTGACATTATTGTTGACTTGTTACACAATAAAATTTCTATAAGAATTAAAAATTTTATAGGATAAAAAAAAAAGAAATTATAATTGATGAACATGATAAACTATTCATGTTAGTACAAAAAAGTACTATTTGAATAGATTAGGAAAATCTTTTATTAATACTAATGCATGTATTCATGCTAAACAATGTAAAGGGATTAAAAAGCCAACACATTCAATAAAATAATAATATCTTATAAAGCCGTTTTTAATTATCATTTACTCTTCAACATTTATCATATAGAACAATGCTATGAATTTTTGAAGTTTAACAAAAAATATATTTTTAAATTGATTTTGTACAAAAAAAGATGATTCTCGGAAAGAATAATATGGAAACAAATTATAAGTTCATTGAAATTCTTCCAAGACAAATATACCATACTTTATTTTTGTAGTTGGATAACTGCATTCCCTCTCTTAACGGAAAATAAGTAGGAAATCAACTTAACATCCTTATGTCGGGCTATAGTAACCTTTGACTCCGAATTATAAATTAAGATAATGATTTTTATTGAGAATGTAAAACGAATTATTTCTTTCTTTAATCATTTGTTTTAATTGTATATTACTTTAAAAATGATAATTGTACATTGTACATGTCTAAGAACAATACAATCGGATCATGCAAACCGATATATTTTTATTCAACAGAATATAGATCTATTCTATTGCAAACTAGATGGCACACGAGCCGAGACTCGTCTGCGAAGTGCGACGCAAAGCTTGATTTCGAAATAACGACTGTGAGGTGTTCACAAAATTCTCAACATTCACGATTATAGTAGAAATTTATATTATAGAAATCGAGAATTCAAACTATCATATGTTCAAAGAACACGAATGATTCATTATCTGTCATCAACTGTACTTTCAACTGTAAAACATTTGTTAAAAAGAAGTGGTGTCTAACTTTTGCTTTTGTTTTCATTTTAATTATCGCGAAATACAGAATCTCTTGCGAATTCACGAAAAGCTAGTTAGGATTGAAATCTTCATCAGAAGCAACAAATATTTGTCATCAATATTGAATTTTTGATTTCAATTACTAATTATAATAAATATATTAAATATTAGTTAAATCGTATCATTAGGCCTGTCATTCTTTTTTTGTTTAACTTCGTTACGGCATTGAATAGTGATAATCTTAAAAAATCAATACAAGTAAGCAATAATATAGTTTTATTTTACACAAATTAACTTCCAATATACATTTATAAACACATTCGAAGAAAATGTTCAAAACTCAACATGCTTTATTATAAAGTTTTAAAACTTTTGAATAATTCAATCTTGACGGTGGCTGTGGGTGTAAGATGGGAATAATACACACACCGTCCAAATTACACAGACCACAACAGGCAGACCTGTTTAGGACTCTGCTTAGTAGCCTTGTTGTTGGAGCGCTACAGTAGGTGCCCCATCTAACAATTTAAAGTGTGCAATTGTTTTCTTCATTCATCTGACAACGAAACGAGATAAAAACCAGAGGTTTTGACAATATTGATATCATTAAAATATCTCACCCAGATTCGTTAGCTGAATTTTCCTGGCGGTGCCAGGTACTTCTACTAGTTGGTATTATAATTTTAATATTGAATAAGTTGTTAGTTTATCAAACAATGAGTTTAATATTAATTATTATTTACACTTTTTACTGTTAATATGTGTACAAGTTTGAGTAGATTTTATTAATCGTTCATAGAAAAGAAGACGATCATTTGACTTTTTCCTGGTATAGTTTCAATATGCGATTTAAAAACATCAGAAAATATAGTGAGCCTGTTGACGTACATTATTTGCAAAGTAAATATATGTCTTTTATATTAACGATATTCTCTCCTATTTGTAAAGAAAGTTGGAAAAAAAAATTCTTTCTTCTTCTTTCTACTCACCTTGTTGTACGATATAAGCTGAATGATACACAAGACATAATTTTATTATAAATAATATAAGTAATAAACATAAAAAAAAAGCTAATGACATCATAAAAACATTGTGATGAAGAGATCTGATTCTTATATAAATAGCAGTGTTCGTTTCTTTGCTTAATCATAAATTCTTCAGCTCTTCAACCACCTTCAGTTATCGTCCGATTATTAATACATACGTATCATGGATCCGAAACCTTCAAAATCGAGCGTAAAATCGTCTCATGGAGCAAAAGCATCTTATATTCGTCAACCACGACAACGTATCACACAAAATTACCTTCTCCTATGGGTAGATGCCAGCATAGATGTAACAAACAAGGACTGTCAAAATACACTGGCTCAATTGAAGAACGTGGTCAACGATGTCAACTTATGCACTGAGCCGAATCAATGCATCCAAACACTCAACAAGTGTGACAAGGAACGAGCCTTTGTCATAACATCAGGCTCATTAGGACAACATTTGGTTCCTGAAATTCATGGCATGCCACAGCTAGATGCCATTTACATCTTCTGTGGCAATAAATCCAGACATCAAGGATGGACACCAAACTGGAAAAAAGTTAAAGGTGTTCATACAAATATCAAAGAAATTTGTCAAGCATTACAATCGGCTGTTAAGCAATTCGACAAGGACACAATAGCTGTAAGTTTTGTTACGATAAATGAAATGGCTTCAACCGATAAGCTAAATCGGTTGGAGCCGACTTTTATGTATACTCAGCTATTCAAGGAAGTTCTCCTTGATATTAAATATGATCGTACGGCGATCAAGGACTTAACAGCTTGTTGCCGCGAAGATTTTAGTGGCAATTCAAGCGAATTGCAAGTGATTAATGAATTCGAACGTGACTACCATTCACAAAAAGCAATATGGTGGTATACACGTGAGTGTTTTACCTACAAAATACTCAATCAAGCGCTTCAAACATTAAACGCCGGTATAATCATTAATATGGGCTTCTTCCTACGTGATGTACATCGACAAATTCAACAGCTGCATGAACAACAAGTCAGTAGTTATGGAAGAAACCCTTTTTTTGTTTATCGAGGACAAGGTCTTATGAAATCAGACTTTGAAAAACTTCAGAAAGCAAAAGGTGGCCTCATTTCATTTAACAACTTCTTGTCCACCAGTACGGATAAAGAAGTGTCCCTCGGTTTTGCTCGAGATGCTTCAACAGAACCAAACAAGGTGGGCATTTTTTTTATAATGTCCATTAATCCTTGCTTGAGATTAACACCATTTGCTTACATTAAAGAGAAGAGTTATTTTAAGAAAGAAAACGAAATTCTCTTCTCGATGCACACTGTGTTTCGGGTGAATGCAATTAAACAAATGGACAATACGAATCAACTTTATCAAGTTGAATTACAGTTAACATCAGATGATGATCCACAACTACGATTACTTACTAATCGAATACGAGAAGACGCTGAAGGTACTGGATGGAAAAGATTGGGTAACTTATTGCTTACAATTGGTCAATTTGATAGAGCTGAAGAACTTTATAATGTATTACTCGAACAGACATCTGATGAGAGTGAAAAAGCGCATTATTATAATCAGCTGGGATGGGTCAAAGATGATCAGGGTGATTATGAAAAGGCTATTTGGTATTATGAAAAAGCACTTGAAATTCGAGAAAAAACTCTTGCTTCTAATCATCCATTATTGGCTACTCCATACAGCAACATCGGTAGTGTGTATAAGAGAATGGGAGAGTACTCGAAAGCACTTTCATTTTATGAAAAAACACTTGAAATCCGAGAAAAAACTTTTCCTTCGAATCATTCATTATTGGCTACTTCATACGGGAACATCGGTTCGGTGTATGACGAGATGGGAGAGTACTCGAAAGCACTTTCATTCCACCAAAAGGCATTTGAAATTCGAGAAAAAACTCTTCCTTCTAATCATCCTGAACTCGCTACTTCATACAACAACATCGGTTTGGTATATTCCAAGATGGGAGAGTACTCGAAAGCACTTTCATCACACGAAAAAGCACTTGAAATTCGAGAAAAAACTCTTCCTTCAAATCATCCATTATTTGCTACTTCATACAGCAACATCGGTAGTGTGTATGACAAGATGGGAGAGTACTCGAAAGCACTTTCATCACACGAAAAAGCACTTGAAGTTCTGCAAAAAACTCTTCCTTCAAATCATCCTGATTTAGCTAGTTCATACAACAACATCGGTAGTGTGCATGTCTACATGGGAGAGTACTCGAAAGCACTTTCATATTTCGAAAAAGCACTTAAAATTCGAGAAAAAACTCTTCCTTCAAATCATCCTTCATTAGCTACTTCATACTGGTGCATTGGTAGTGTGTATCATAATATGAAAGACTATTCGAAAGCACTATCATACTATGAAATTGCTCTGGACATATACCAGCGTGCATTACCTCCAACTCATCCTGATATTATGGGTACGAAAAGGAGTATTGAAATGGTCAAAAAGAATTTATAAAGAATAGTTGATAAAGAAATAAAAGAACGTTTTGTTCGGTTATGTTTGAATTAATTCTAGTTTGTAGTGATTCGTGCTCGTGTGCGGAAAACAACTCTGTAAATATTAAAAACGTAATGGAGAAAGCCGACTGATAAGGTAATACACGTACATATGCATGTGTATGAATGACTTTCTCATACATATTTTCATTTGTAATTCTTTACGATAATGTTTCCCGTAATAAAAGAAGAATAACTTATATGGAATTGAATTGAGATAGTGTGGAACGATGCCTCGTATGATGCAGAAAAAGTTAAAAATCTGCAATATATATACCGATATGTCATCAACATGTGGCCTAATTGACTCAAACAATTGGTATTCATCGTTGAACCTATAGAATGAAATGTAAAATTTGGTGGCACAGATGATTGTTTTGTTATTGTAAAGAAACCCATTTGATGGTCATTTAGAAACTAAAATAAACTATTTTTGTTTTGGAAAATGAAATAAAAGATAACTTATTCATAATAAGTTCAGTATCATTAAGTATAGATTGTTCAGGACAATCTCGATCATATGTATCCACTTGCGGCTGGGTGGATGTAGGTGCATCTTCTCTTTACCTGCATCTAAATCCTCACCCACACCTAAAATCGAAAAACGTATGATATCAGTTCAATTGTGATATATTCATCTCGTATTTAAACGAATATTTTCTGATGCTCCGTTTCTGAAATAATTGTGACATAAAATGACAACTTTGAATATGTACGTCGAGAAAGACTACATAGATGCTTTGCTTCGTATCGCATTAATAAACATCGATCCGAATTTGACAAGAGATATACAATGATTATCAATTCAATCTTCTTTGTATGATCAATATATGTTTTATGTAGTCATCATATTTGAAGTCTAACATACAATCATTGTAATGAATATAATGTTTTAAAATGTCAAAACAAAATGATTGTTGAAAGACTTTAATTACAAAAAACAAATCGAGACATTCATCAACTCAATTATATGTATATACAATTATTTTTCTTTTTCGACTGTATATTGTAATATACTACACCATTATCAAACCATCTTGAGGGGTGGGTGAGGATATGAATCTTCTTTTTACTTTGTTCAATGATTACGATTGATTTCATTGATAAGAGTTATTGTAAACTTATGTTTAATTCAATCAAAAAATCATTTTGATGATAGAAGTACTATAACAAAGAATTGATGCAGTTACTTTTATCAGAATAAACAAAAACGGATAAGACTAATTTTAGTTTTGCTAACCCATTATTAGACACGACAAAAAAGCAAGCAAATGAATATTTAATACATAAATTAACACTAAAACGGAGTCGATATAAATAAAAACATTCTCACTACATAACTGAACAACGTTGATTTTTTTTATGACATGTATTGTATTGTTTATGTTTACGTGCAAATAAATGTGAAAAATCATTTAATACCGATGATGGATTTTTTCCTTGTTTTGCTTCATAATCCGAGTAAAAATCATCTGTTAGAATTGTCTGATTATCAATATGAATTTGAAGAGAATCATCACCATCATCATTTTTCTCAATACTTGATATTGGTACATATACATCAATATCTGATGTATAGATATTTTCGTTAACATTAGGTGTTCCAAGTTCATTTTTATTATTTATAATTCGATTTGGTTGAAATGTTGTTAACATTGAATTTGGCGGATTATTATGAAACCAATTAAACATTGAAAGTGGACGTATAGGTCGTTTTTCCGGAATATAATTATTTATTGGTTTTGAAAAACTATGATTGCGCATTGGTTGAAAATGTGATATTCGTGGTATAGATTTTTCTTCGACTTTTTTTATTGGTAAAGCATATTCATGTTTCATTTCTTCAATTGAAGGTTCTGGACTACATGATGTGACTGGACTACATGATGGTACTGGACTACATTCTGGAATTGGAGTATGCTGTGGGATTGGACTACATTGTGGAACTGGAATACATTGCGGAACAGGAATAGGTGATAATGGATTTTCATATATATCATCTGTAGGTAATTTTTCTTTTATTGGTGGTCTCTAAATTAAATTATAAAAATGATATAACGCAAGAAAAAGAAATTTACAGATTTTATTGATTTATCAACAGGACGTAATTGAACTTGACGTAGAAGTTCATCAAGTGTTGGTAAGGGTGGAATAATTGGTGCAGGTTTTTTCATTGTTCGTTTTCGTTTACAGATTGCTGATGGTGTAACATAAGTTATATCTTGTTCTGGATCGAGTGCACGTAATTTATTAAATTCTCGATCTAATTCTTCAGTAATACAAGATTTTTTTGGTTTTATACTTGGTGATGATGGTAGAGAATTTATTGTTGTTGAATGTTCAGATGCTGATGATGATAGAAGTGGAGTTTTTAATGATTGTTTATCTTTCGTTCTAATTGTTTTTATTAATTCACGAATTTCTGAACGTTCAAGTGATGTAAAACTTGATTGACTATGACTACGAGAACGTGATGATGAATGGAAGGTAGAATCTGAACGAAGACTATCACGACTTGGATCTCGAGAACTTGCACTAGATTCAAAAAAAAACATTTTAAATAAAATAAAAAGATTGAAGAAGAAAATTACATTAACGATAGATTTTGACTGGATGATCGACGAAATTCTCGAAAATCTTCCATTGCAGCACTAATCAATGGATCATTGCGTAATGAACCATTTAAACGTTGCTGAAACGATGAACGACTACGATTCGATGATGTTGACAGAGTATCTATACTCGCTTCTTTTAAAATTTTAAATAAATGAAAAAGATATATGTTTTTTGTTTTCTTACCGGAATCTTCAGGATTATTATTATTATTATTGTTATTAACAATATTGATTTTTCGATTTTTTATTGAATTATTTCCTTTTGATTTAATATGACGTGTACTTGAATTCGATATACTTCCTTTTGTTGATAATCGATCATTGTTAATACTATTTGATTTAGTAGTAGGAATTGGCATTTCATCCAGTGTTGAAATACGTATGGGACCACGCTCATGTGTTTGTACAGAACGTTTTCGTGGATGATTAAATGATGGTTTTCGTTTTGGCGAATGTGATGGTAAACGTCTTCGAGGAGATATGTTTTTCTTCTTAGGTAAAGAATTTTTTCGATGACGTTTTGGTGATATATGCATTTCTTGAGCATAAGCAACACTTAAATTTGATCGACGATGATTCGCCATAGCATGCCAAGAATGAGCTTTAGATAGAGGAGCTGAAGTAAATTGAGTCGTTTGTTCAAGATCTGATATAGATTTCGTCCTTGATGGTCGATATTGTTGAGTATACATAGGTTCATTAGAACGATGAGATCGTGTGGAAACATCATATGATCGATGTAATGAACGTCGACTAGGATGACTGGTGGATTTTTTTAAATATTGATAACGTGTATTCGTATATGGTGAAGTTGGAGGCATTGATCTTATATTATGATTATTTTGTTGAGGAAAAACAAATGTTGGTAATGGTTGAGATATTGGATATGATGGACGAAATTGTTGTTGTTGAGGATACATAGGAACACGATATGGCATTGAAGACCATGGGTTAGATACAGGAAGATGTCGAGCATCCATATATGATGGATATCGTAATGGTTGTTGAATTGCTAAATTCATGATAGATACTCTCTTCTTTTTTTCCCTCAAATAAATAACACAATTTGTAATCGATTTCGATAAGTTTTAAATTTAAAATTTTTGTAACATATTGCTCCGATGAGTCAAGGTAAATTTTTTTTCTCTCGTATCTATTCGTATATATATCTATATGATAATGGACACGGTAAACGCCCAATAAGTAAAAAGAGAATGATGTACAATTTCTAAAGGTCAAGTTCATCACGTCGTAATGTTCATCGAACCGAGACCGTGGCAACAACGACGACTAAGATAGACAATATAAATGTATACATTTATGTACACATATATATGTACATTATGTGCAATAGTGCATATATACTTTAGATCTATCTATCTTTGAAAAGATAAAAAGAAAGTGATCATTTCTATTTATTATAATTTCATATATTCAAACACTTTTTTTTATTTTATTTTATTTTATAAATATTATAGTCATTTAAATAGAATGACATTCATTTCACAAAAGAAGACAATCAGTTTTTGCAATTGTACGACATGCATGATTTTGTCCTAATTCACATCGACATGTTAACATACTAAATACATAATTTGCTGGACACATGAAATCATAACGTAATAGTGTACCATCAGATGTTTGATCATTTGTTGTACAAAAATAGAATTTTGTACAATCATACATATCTCGATAGAGACCAGATCGTCGACCGGCACAATCAAATATTGATGTTGTACCACCTGATATACCTAATAATTCACCTAAATTACTCAATGGGTTTCTTGCTAATTGAGAAAAATAGGGTGCTATCGTCGTTGTTGTTGTTGTTGTAGTAATAGTATGTGAAATACAAAATGTATCACCACCTGTTTGACATGAATGACCTGTTGGCCAATCACATGTACAACCATCCATTGAAAATTCAAGTCCAGGTGGACAAAAAAATATATGATAACGTAGAGAATTTAAATCATCACCTTCACAATAATAAAATATTGAACAATTTGTACGATCACGATGAATTCCATTACGACCAGTTCGATAATGACTACATATATATTCAGCATTATATGTTTGATGTGCTACTGGAGGTGGTGGAGGTGGTGGTGTAGCTTCTATGAGAGGTGTGTAACGAGTTGTACCTGATAGAATACCAAGAGCATTTAATAATTTTTGTAAATTTAAAGGTAATATTGAAGATGAAGGAGATGGTTGCGATTGAACATTAACAAAATGAACAGGTGCAACAGGTGGTAAACGTGATTGAAGAGCAATTGCTGGTGCACTTGTAACTGGAACTGGAAGATTGAGAGTAGCAAAAACTTGTCGAGTAAGTGGAAATGGTTCTGTATTACAGAAGAAACCGGAAAATTCTAAAGTAAAGAAATCATTAACACAATTTTCAAAAGACTTATAAATTGTTTTTTTTTCTTTTACTAATTTTTAAATATCTACAATAAATCGCGCCGTCATAGTTATATTTGTTACGGTCTATACTGGACGAGATTTATTTTTTGACCCCTTATAATTTAACACTTCTTATATATTACTTCACATACCATCATTATCAATACTCCATATAAATACACCCGCTAATTGTTCACCTTTTGCATATTGAGCCTTTAAAAGCATGTGTTTTTTTAGAAATAAAAAACAATTGTATATATATTACTTTCATAGTTGCTGAATCAATATCTTCATATGTAATCCATTGATCACCACTAGTCATATACCAAGCTTTCTCAGCATCTAACCAAACTTTTTGCCAACTTTTCGATCGGTCTTTTTCGCATATTTCGTAATAAGAAAGAAAACCTCGAGTTTTCGTATATCGACCAGGATAACCTGCACCAGTAACTAAACAACAAACAAAAAAAAATTCTAATATAAAAACCTAAAATAAACAATTCTACTAACCTGGTGCATGAAGACCTTTTTGTGCACTAGCTAATGTAAATGAACGACCATAAGCTGGTATACCAATAAGAATTTTTTCTCTTGGTACACCAAGACTTAACCATAATTTAACAAGTCCATCCTATAATAAACAAATATTTAAATCGAAAAAACGAAGATATATATTTATTTATATACCACATTACGAAGTGATTCGGATTCTACTTGATATGATTGATGATACAATGGAGCAAATACTCCTGTTTTTTCATCCCATGGACCTAAAGAAATCTATAGTTTTTTTTTTGAAAATTAATTTTATTTACCATAAAAATCAAATGTCATCAAATTGACATAATTAATTAATCTAATAAGAATTATTCAATTGAAATATTTCAAAATAGGAAAATTACTTTTCAAATTTATGAACATCATATACTTTTGGAAGATGATCAATAAATGGTGCTGCTGTTAATGTAATAATTGTATTTGACATTAATCGTTTTTGTTTTGTAATTTCCTAAAAAAGAAAATATTTTCACATGCTTTTTTTATTTAATTTCAATAGACTTCAAATAATGTCGTTAATGCTAATTTATCATCTGGAACGTCTTCATCAGGAAATTCAAAAGCAATATCAACTCCATCAAATCCATAGGATTGCATAAACCAAATAAGACTTCGAACTAATTGTGTAGCTGATTTTGATCGTCTAAGATATCGTGTATATTGTGCACTTTTTCCACCTAATCGAATCGATATTTTTAAATCTGGATTTGTTTTTTTTAATAAAGCAAGTTCTCGATAATTTTCTAAAGAAGAAAAAAAATTTTTTTTTATTAATTATGAATGATACTTTATTTACCAATATCTTCTTTTTGTATTGGTATAATTTCTGGTTTATTATCATCAACAGTTGCATATGCATAAATAATATGTGTACACATAAATGGATCAATATATTCAATTTCAAATTTCGCTTTATCTGGTCGATATCGAGACCAATTTGTAATATAACATACACGTTGAATTTTCGTATTATCATGAATTTGTACGGATGGTTCATCTGGTTCTTCTATTTCATTGATATTAACATTTTTTCTTGTCAAAAGATTTGACGATGATGAATGTATTGGAAGTTTTCCATTTTTTCGTGCAGTATTATTATTATTTCGTTTTGGTTGTTTAATTTTAGAAGGACGTATTGTTGTTAATCGAGATTTTTTTGAACATGTAGGATCAATAAATGTATTTTTAATACATTTTTGTTTCGATTCATCAAAAATTTGTTCATTTGGACAACGTTTAATAACATATAAATAACTGAAACCACTGGAAAAAACTGCACATGGAAAATACGTTTGACAATCACGTAAATCTCGACAATATGATTGTTTTAAATCTAAAGAAGAAAAAAAAGAATGACATTTAAATAATTCTTCAACATACTTATCTGATTTGCATGAACGTCATTTATTTGATCTATAATGATAATGAGTAGAATTGATATAAGATGATGATACATCAATGAATAATATTGACGCATATTTAAATTTGTCTTTTTTTTTCAAAGCTTCACAACAAATACAAATGATTATGACAATTCAAGGAATAGTAGTAGACAAAATACAGTATAATTAAGTATTCTTAGTTATTGTAGGTTGATCGAAAGAAAGAAAAGGTACTGCTACTCACTAATCAAACAATTGTATCTGTTGTATGAGCTCACCAGGCGATCCGCGTGTCAACAACTTAAACTATGTATACAAAGCTAGGACATACAACAATTGAACAACAAATGTCATGTACTTACACAAATATATTGAGAATCAGTTGAATAAAATCTCACTATTCAACCGAGTATTAACAATTTATACATCATAAAACAAATGTTCATTGACACGATAAAAAAAAAAGAAGAAAAAGGAATTTGATCCTAATCGAAACAATAAGAAATATGAGAAAAGTATCGAATAAATCTTCTCTATTTGAATAATAGTAATGACCTTGTGTATATAAATCCTGTTCATAATTGAACATTCATCTTCAAAATTGTTCATCAGATAGTTTGACTATGCAAAAAAAAATATTTTGTATGCATTACGAATAGAACATAGGTACATATCCTTTTTAACTATTCTATTGATCTTCGTTACTATTTTCTAATACGATCAAACAATTCATTCAATGATGTAATCCGAAATAAAAAGAAAAGAAATAGTATATCATTTGTCTTGGTCAAAAAAAGTATTTGTATCAATTTATTCTAGTATATATATATGTGTATATTTATTCGAACTTCATATAATTGAACAATGATTATTCGATATTCAATGTTCATTCTATTTTTATGGTATTCTTATTTATTAAATCATTTTTTAATTCATGCTCAACAACTTTCCAGTGAGAATTTCCTTTTTTATTAAATAAAAATTTTCTTTTTTTTTTTCTTTCATAGAATCTCCTCGTTTATGTACTTATCGTAATAATCTATCACAGTATTATCCATGTATACTTAATTATATTGGTCTTAATAGTTGGTCTTTATATCAATGCCCAGATGGATCGATATTCGATGAAACATCACAGCAATGTTTAATGAAAGTGCCTATAAGTGATACATTCGATCAACTTTCATCATCCATAGATGAAACACAATTTGAAAAAATTTCGAATTTTATTGTACCAAACAAAGAAGAACCATTTTCAATAAAAAAAATTTTACGTGAAGTAAGAATTTTATATAATAAATAAATATACATATTAATTACAATAGCATGTTGAACATCCTGGAGGTATATTTTGGGCAAATGGTTATCCTCTAACTCCATCAGAGGATAAATCAATTTTTCCACAAGAATCATTAATTAATTCAAAATTAAACTATTTCTCTTCAGGACATCCTTATCCTACACCCGTTAGTGAAGGTAAACATAATTTATTTTTGTTATAATAATAATAATGAATATTTTATTTTCTTCTAGATGAATTGAAATACAAGAAAATTTGTTATTTTACTAATTGGTCACAATATCGAACTGGTCCAGCTAAATTTGAACCAGAACATATTGATCCATTTCTTTGTACACATATTATTTATGCTTTTGCTTATATTAACAATCAAACATTTTTAATAAAAACAGTCGAAGAAAATGATGAAGGTTTGTTTTATACATAAAAAACAATTTCATATACGTATATATGTATTAAAATAGATCTTTATCGTCGTATAAATGCACTTAAAAAACGTAATCCAAAATTAAAAACCTTATTAGGTGTTGGTGGATGGAATATGAAATCTTATGCATTTTCAATTATGGTACATAGTACTGAAAGAAGACGAAAATTTATTTTTGATACAATCAAGTAAATCAATCATATTAGTTTAAGAAAAAGAAAAGAATTATTTTTTATTTATTAAGTTTTCTTCATAAACATAATTTTGATGGTTTCGAAGTTGATTGGGAATATCCAGGTATGCGTGGTGGACAATCGGATGATAAATATTATTTAACATTATTTTTTCAAGTTAGAAATCGATTTAGAACTTTAAAAAAAATATCATGACAGACATCTATATATATATTTCATAGGAATTTCGTGAAGCTGCAATAGCACAATCAATTGTCACCGGTCAACCACGATTATTAATAGCAGCAGCAGTAGCTGCTAATCAAGATATTGTTTCCAATGCTTATGAAATAGATAAAATTTCAAAGTATAAAAAATTTAGAAATTTTAAATTTTGATCTTATTTTTCCTCTATTCAGAGTTTTAGATTTTATTAATATTATGACTTAGTATGTATATTTATATATGATAATTCATAGCGATAGAAGTTTATTTTAGTGATTTTCATGGAGCATGGCAAAATCATACAGGTTTAAATGCTCCATTATATAAACGTTTTGATGAAACTGATATGGATGCAATGCTTAATCAAGTAGATTATAAGTTTATTTAGTTTTATTTTCAATTTGATATTTTCAAGGATTTTGGTATTGCTATTTGGTTAAGAAATGGTGCACCAGCTCATAAACTTGTTCTTGGTGTACCATTATTTGCACGAACATTTTTCTTAGCACATGCAAATCAAAATGATCTTCGTTCACCAACAATTGGTAATGGTACAGAAGGTCCATTTACGCGTAGTGCTGGTTTTCTATCATATTTTGAAGTAAATTTTTCTATAGAAAATAATTTTTATTATCTATGCTGTTTATTATTTAAAGGTGTGTTTATTACAAGCTGATTCTCAATGGAAAAAGAATACTGTATTAGATGGATCAGAATCAGGATATATGTATAAAGATCGTGACTGGGTTTCGTATGATTCACTTGAAAATATACAAAAACGAGCAGCTTATGTTGTAGCGAATAATCTAGGAGGATTATTTGTTTGGTCACGTATGTATCGTCTTTGTTTTTTTTTGAATAAAAATTGTATCCTTTTTTAGTTGATATGGATGATTTTAGTGGTATATTTTGTCAGAATGGTTCATATCCATTTATTAAAAATTCTTTATCACTCTTACCAACTAATATGGCTTCATATATTTGAATTCATATATATACACATACATAGCAATGAACTGTAGACATATAATGACTTAAAAGTATTTAAATATTTGCCTTTATTTAATAAATATACTATAAAAATCTAATTGAATTAGTTCACTGATTACTGATGATCATTTGATAATATGTTTAAATATTCATATTTATTAGAGAGAATAAATGCGTTTTCATAACAGCAAAAGATAAAATAAATAGTTCTGTAATCAACTGTATTGGAAAAAATTCAATACATGAAATAAAATTAATGATTTTAGTTTTTTTTCTTTGATTCTAAGAAAATAAAAATAACAGTAATAATAAATTCGTCTAAAATGTATTTACTAAGAAAACTTGTGTAAACTATCTTGAATATTAAACGATGTTTCATTTTCTTTTGTGGATAGTGAAGTGTACTGACATAAACGTTCGATTGAATGTCTAAGAACTTTTTCCCATGCAATAATAAATATTGTGAAAAGTATCAAAAATAAAAAAGCAAAACCTAAACAAAACGAATGATCAAAGTTAATAGTCTAGATAAGAATACCTGAATTATCACGAAAGAGATTGCCACGAATATGAAAAGCAAGTGCACCATATTTCTCACTCATAGCAAATCCAGAGAAAATAGGAAAACCAATCAAAAAGATTAATTTCAATCCATAGACCACTGCAGTCTATCAAAGATTAAAATAAAAAAAATATACAAAATAAATCGAAAGAAACTGACTTTTTGTTTTTGAATTATTTGAATTATATATTTTCGAAATTTTAATATAAACAAACCATTTGAATGACCATCGTCAGGAAGTTTTTCAAAACCTGCGTTATTCTTATCTTCATCATCATCTTCTATTTCTTCTATCGATTGTAATTTTGTTGTTAATATCGATCCATTTGTAGTATTTATTATGTACGGTTGTTGATCTAACTCAAATGCAGGATTTTCACGACCAATTCGATTCTGAATAAAAGAAATTATTTTATGTATTTTATTAAATAAAACTAACCTTTGTCATTTGAAAATTTGTATTCGATTGACTTTAGTTTAAACAAACTATAAAAAGAAATATAATCTTTGATACATTTAGATTATTCATGCTTTTATTTCTCTTTCTATAGATGATAAGATAGTATAATATTCAAGTTTGATTTATTTCAATTATCATTTGACATTAAATACACTATCATGCCTAATAGTTATGAATAAAGAAAAGTATGTTGATAAGAATTTATTTCAACAAATATAGTTTTTATTAATAACAGAGAAAAGAATCTATCATAAATCAACTTACTTCTTCTCCAATGACTGATCTTGTTTTGTTTTTGAAATTTGTATGTATTCTTTAAAAAAAAGATTACCATCGTATATTTAATACACTTCATCAACATACTTTAATATTTATTTATTTCATGAAAACAAAATTCGATAATTTTTTATGCATGACATTCGCTTTAAATTTATTTGATACAAATCTAAATGATTGAGAAAAGTAAATAATGACTTGTTACAGTCTCTGATCATTTAACTCTATAAAAAGCAATCTACTGATTTCAAATTGGATTCTTGATTTAAACAATAAAATACGAGATTGTTTTAAAATCCAATTCATTTTCTTATCTTACTAAATTTCACTCTTGACGATAGTGACGTTTATATATAAAATAAATCTATTGAATTAAGACTCTTAATGATGTAAATATCATAATTATCTGTTACCTACATTCACATCCACTCTCAACAAGCTTATTTTCTAATAAATCTTAGTCAAATTAATTAGAAATATATCAATTTCAGTTAGTTTTATTGAGTAAAGTAAAAGAATTTATAAATGAAACCAGTAGAGTAAAGATAAATCACAGAAGCTGTAGCATAAATATATAATGCAAAATTTGCAAACAACAAATAATTAATAAAATATAACATATAAGATTGCTCAATAGATTTAAAAGCTTAGTAACAATTTTGATTATATACATATCAAGCGTATTTTGCAGCGTTACATCAGCAGTGATATCATCTAATAAGAAAAATTAAGTAGAATTTCTCAGTAGCTATATGTAAGAGAACACAAAAGAAGAAAAAGTATAAGTTTGGAACTTCCAATATCATCTGATTATTTTTTAGTGGTGAACCTTATGAGTAGTGCTTATATAAATTTGAAGGTAAAATAGATTTTGAGGTTATATAACTAGTAGTGATAATTAAATATTCTTAGTTAACTTTTTTTAGTAGAAAAATTAACTAAAAATATTTAACTATATTTTCAATCTCAGAACCTATATCACCTTGAAAATTATATATGAGTACTGTAGCACTTACTCTCTTAATGTCAGAATTTTTGAATAATGTAGTTATTCTCGTATGCAGATAAATGTCAATTACATTCTGTTGTTGAAATAGTTCTAATTAATGTCCAGTAAATGTATCATTGTTGTTGCGTAATTCGAAAGCAAATTAAAATTTTTTTAATTAATTTAACAAGATAAGGTACGATAAAGTAAACGGCAATTGATAAACTACCATATGCACTCAAAAATATTGTTAATATTTCTAATTCATCAGATTTTTGATAATATGTATAAATACAATAACTTGGAGAGCAACTATTAAAATATGTTTCATAGGATGTATTAGTGGACCATGATTCGATAAACATTTCATATGCTATCTTTTCTATAGTATCATTCATAGAGAATCGTGTTGTTAACGTATTTAATCCATCAAACTGTTCCTTTGTTAAAGCTTCTCCTTCGCTAAGAGCTCGAAGGATGTTAATGCATTGCAGATAATAGAAGCAAGTCAAAGATGAAAGAAGTAATGTTTCAAGTTGATGGCAACCAATGACTATACCATCAATAGTAACCAAATCAGAATTTATATTTACTTGTCGTGGCATTCGACATGTTTGTAAAGTGCTGCATAAACAACTTGTATTCTCTTGTGTATTATTGAATGTACGAGGTACAGTAAGGAAATTAATATCACTTCCATCGTTTGTTTTAACTTTAACTAAACTCCAAGCTTGTGAATTTATATGTAGTAAAGCATTTCCTTGGATAGTTGAACGGATAAGGTCTAATATATGCGCAAATGCAGTTTTTGTTTTATTTTCGAATTGACTTAGTGTTTCATTCATTTCAGTGTCAAATAGATCGCGAGACATTAGTTGATTGGTAAATAAAGTTGAGGCAAGAAATGCATCAATACTATTTTCAACATTGTGTTTTGCCAAAGAACAAAGTTGCTCCAAGGATTTCACGAAAGGATTTATCCATTGTGTGAAGTGTCCAGATATGGTCATAAATCCGCCTGAACCTCCTAGCATATCTGCAAGTATAATTATTCAAATACTCTTAAAAAATGTTTTTTATTTAGGCTTTTTATAGTTTAGCTAATGGAATTTGCTTTTTTCATGACTGTGAAAAATTTTATAAAAATTTAAATTTTCTCTTATTTGAATTTGTTTGAAATTCCTTTTCTTTACGCATCATCAATATCAACAATTCAAATTAGATTCGTTGAAACTTTATCAAAAAAAAGAAATCATTTTCAACCCGAAAGTCTTGAATATTTTGTTAATCGATTAAATTTTAGAAAGACAAATAGTAAAACTAACATCTTTGTACTTACACATTGTCAATATTGTGTATAGTCGCTTATCATCACATGCATCATGAAATGAACTGACTTGTAATTCAGTGATAAATTTATCATAAGAAATTGATGTATATGTGCATGGGCAACTGATATCATCTGAATAAAGGTTTAATAATTGTTCATAATCATCAATCGAATGTAACTGTTGTGTTTCAGTAATACGACGTTCGATCAGAATTGTATAAAAGAGTACAATACTGAGTAAAACTATGTAAAGAAATAGATAAACTTTTGTATAGATTTGTTGTTGACGAATATGAGTGTTATCAGTTGATTCTATTTCGTAGATGTTAAAATTCTTAATTTTATCATAAATATTACGTGGAAAGTTTCTTGAACGAACATCAATTGAAGATGATCCTAGAATGAATTATATATGAAATCAAATTAATACGTTTTTTGTTTTGAATAGTACTTCAAATAAGCCAGTTCTATGAGTCATAAAATCCTTAACTGAATAGTCTGAGGAGACGTACGAAAATCACATCAGTTACCCATCCATAATCATCTTCAAACTTGGCCTAACATTCTCAATTTGGTTCTTTCGACTAATTTCTGTTTCAGTAAAATTCGTTCCTCATAAAAATACTCGTGGATGAGCGTAGTTAATTGTATTTATTTTACTTCTACGATTCTAGCACTGTCAATAACTTATATTCTACTATCACATCATTAGATCTCAATTGTAAAAGTCAAAGAAAATGATCTAATTAATTAGAACGATTCGTGATAAGATATTTTATTATTCTTTGAAAATTTCACAAGAAACTATAATACTTCTCAGTAAGCTTCTTATCAGTTTTTGAAGTTGATTAGTTTTAAAGAGAAATACATTCTTTAAGTGCTAATTGATTTGTATTTATATAGTTAGTATAATTTTAATTGATTTATTTTTTTGAAAATGAACTCTATCTGTACCTTACCTTGTCGAGTATTTCGATTTTTTCTTCTGTCATAACAAATACAAATTATTTTGCCAATTAGTGGAACAAGTAGTCGAAGACCTTTGTTTAGACCACTGCAAGTCGAAATCAGAAGAAATAATATCACGATAAAGTTGCGACGTTGAACAACGGTATATGAGCAAAAACTAGGTTTACATGCGTTATAAAATCTATCGAAGGATGCATTATTGATTGTTTTTTCGAGTAGCATTTTACCAAGTAAATCCTCCGTATTGGTATCACCAAATTGAGTCGATTTAGATTCATTAAGAGGTTTGATATTTGGTGAACGTTGAGTATGAATAACCATCGAATAAGTTGCTTGAATATGTTCCATATATGTGATATCGTACCACCATGCCGTTTTTGACTCGAGAAACCCACTTAAAGGTGAACAACCAAGATGTAATATTTTAAATAATAAATATTCATTATTATTGTTAAGATCTGATGTATTTATATAGAGTGAAGGGATTGCAGAGCAGGTAACAGGATTTGTTTCACAATTGCAGGTGTGGTAAGCGATCATAAAGCCGTCTTGTATGATGCTTACTATATCATATTTACGAAAATTAGTAATCACTTGACTATGCTCGTTTATAGATATACCAACATTTGTATTCAATCCATTGTAAAGATAACTAGTAAGAAAAATAAGTCTCATCCAATTAAATGTTTGTAAAAAATCATATTTTGTTGTATCAATAAATGAAGTCATCATAGCTTTAGTTTGTTGAATAAAATGTGGTAAAGACGGAACACGATCATTAATAAATTCAGTATTAAGAAATATATGCTGTGCATCTGCAATGTTCATTTCAGCTAATGAACAAAAAGCAGCTAGAAGTTGAAAATAAGAAGCACCCATTTTACGGAAATCTTGGCTAAATGAGGTGTCGCTCTCAGGTGACAGATGAGTCGGATCAAAAGATCTTAGATAATGTAACCATTCTAATGAAACCAGATCACTTGAACAGACTTGATGTAATACAAATGTTACATTAAGAAAAACTTTATTAGGAATGGATATTTCTGAACAAGGACAATATAATGTGGTTGGATAATCATTATACAATTGTTCATAAGTATCAAGAGATGGATGTGAAACTGTTATCACATGATTTTGTTCTATAACAATGGTATACACTCCAGCAGCAATTGTTAAAATAACAATGAAAAAGATGAAAAATCTTGTTTGGAGTTGTTCTCGATAAATGTTAGTAGGTGTGCGATGTGTTTGTTTTTCAAAAAGATTTAAAGATATTATTGCTTGCCGTAATTTATTGAATAAAAGTCGAATGCGAAGTTGTATACGTTGATCTGAAAAGAAAACGAGTGATAGATTCTTTTATCAAAATACAATATTTATTATGTCTAAATATTCCAAACAAACCATTAAACTGATAGGAGATATGTGATTTGAGTCATCAAACATGGAGTAAATTACAAACCATTCGGCTATGTGCCATAATGGTTTTGAATATAAGCTGAATATTAGGTTTACATCCATCTTCTCACTCAGTTTTAGAAATAGAAGTTCCTACCGGTTGTAAATTAATACATCGATCGATTAATCGGTTGTCAAAACTACAGATCGGCTTTATCTCTGACTTATACTATCAGCCACATTCGAGTTTCTAAAAGTCTATTCTAACTTACTTCGATTCTGTTCCATAGGCATTATAGTTGACACATTCTCCATTGGTAAAATTCGATTTTTTCGACGTAAAATTTTTGTTGCAACAAAAGATGCAATGTAACGTACGATGAATGGCAACATACCAATAGAGCCGGTAACAGCCGTGAAAACAAGAAATATGTCAAAACGTCTTCGATATGAATATGAGCAAAAAGGACAATTACATTCTGAAAAATATTTATCAAATCGAATTTCAGTTATTGTTTCATCTATCATTAATTCATTGAACATTGATTTTACTGTTGAATACATAGAAAATTTTTTATTCGATGTATTTGATAATGGTTTAATATTCATCGATAATTGTCCATGTAAAATTGAAATGCATGATTGATTATAATAACATTCAAGTGTTGAGGCAAGTGTACCATCAACAACTAAACAATCTACTATCATTCCTGGTACATTAACTAAATGACCATAACTATCATTAAATGTAGCAGATCGTGGACAACCTTCGATATTTGAACAAGTACAATTACCAAATGTTCGAGCTGTCATTTTTAGAGAATTCTGTGGACCTAAATGTGCTGGTGGATAACGTAAATAGAAATTTGTTTGTAAAGCTGATACAATTTGATCTCCACGTGTTATACGTTGTAGAGCAAGTAAATTACGAGTTATTATTGTTTTCGATAGATCTATTTGATTTTGAAGAGTGTTTTCAGCTTGAACTCGAATAACTTGTTCAGCAACTGCTGTAGGAGTGATAAAACTTGTAGCTTCAAAATTTGCAATAACATCATTCCAACTTTTGTTACTTGTCAAACATAAACCAGCAATTGTTTGCCAAAAAAAACTAAGAGTAATACGAGCATCATCGATAGATTTGGTTGTAATTTTTTCATTCGTAAATAATTTGTCAATCCATGCCTGTTGAATAAATTCACTTGAACAAACTTGATGAAAATTAACTTTAGTAGTGACGAATTTAAAATAGTTTGTTGAAGATTTTGAACATGGACAATGAAGAGTACTTGGATACTTACGAATTAATTGTGAAAACTTTTCATGTGAAGGTTTATATTCAATTTTGTCAACAGGTCGAACGATAAGTGCAACAGTAATAGTAATAATAGATAAACATACAATTAATGCAATCAAATAAATACGAGTAGCAAGAAGTTCTTTTTCAAGAGTATGTTCGTTACTTGAATGTTTTTTGAATAGATTCAGTTGAAGAAATTTTTGCCATATACGTTTCACTAAATTGCATATCATTTTAAGACTCTCACCTGCGATAAAAAAAATAATACAATGACTTTTCTACGTATAACTACCAGATATATATATTCAAGAAAAATGATGAATGATGAACATGTTTTATTTTATATTTAATAGTTTGTGATAAACTTTGTTATTCATCTATCATTGCTAAGAAAAATGATTGATGTGAAAGGAGTTTTATTTTGAAAATTTAAGAAAATAATAAAACTGCTTTATCTTCATTTGCAGTGAATGATTGATAAGTTCTGCATTATTTTACATATATTTTCCAAAAAATATTTAATAAAAATATCTTTCACAAAAAATAGTAAATACGTTGAATACTTAATGAATTTATTATATACTAAATAAAATTAATATTCGTTTATTATCTAAACTTTTACTAAGTGAAGATGTTTAACATATAAGAAGAACTTTCACTTGGTGCTGTGATGTGTACATTTCTTTTTATTAGTACTGATATGGTGTCATAATATACGTAAAATTTATTTTTATTTTTTCCTGTTATGACGTCGTTTATGTTGATTTTCACTGTTTTCTAGAGATTTCTTCTCTTCTTACTCTTGAGGATGTAGCTGCGAGTATTATTGTTAACTGATAACTATATCCTCATCCATATTTCATCCTTAACTTCATATTTATTTTCATTAAGAATAATTTGATCGCAACTTGTGTTTTATCTCTATTTCAACAGCATAATCATTTTTTTTATTAGTAATAAAAATACTACTAGGATAGTTACACTAATTTATTTCATTCTCTTTAGCAATAGTTGTTTCATTTTATCTCCATTTAAAATCAGTATGAACTAACATAGAAAAGTTTTTCATTCAACTCTATTATCTTCATCTTTTTGAAAAGACTATATCTATTATTCTTGATGTTGATAATATGATAATTATTTTCAATAACCCCAATAAAATTTATCGTACCATATTTTTCGATTTAATTAGAATTAGTAAATGGAAGCGTCATTAATTATAAAAGATATAAAGACATTTGTATTTGCGAGATATTTTCATCTAATAAAGATGAGTGCAATATGAGTGGGTTTCTTTTAAATAATATCATTCAATGTCAAAACTGAATCCAAAGCATTATTTGTTATATGAAATAAAAATTTATCAAATCTATAACTATAAAACATCCATCATTTTTCTTTTTGTATTTGAAGAATATTTATTTTCTAAATAAAAATATTTTCTTATAAAAATCATCAATCTTTCTTCTTAATACGTCATCGACGAGCTTGAAATATCAGGTATTTATGATTATTATAAAGGTGATCATGTGAATTAAACTACGCATTTGATAAAAGTCTTTCCTATATTATTTGAGATCAAACTCAACTGAAAATGATGGATGAACACCGAGAAAATATAAAAACACAGTCAGAGTGTGACAAAGAAGTTTTTTTCTCAATGTGAGGAGGTGGATAAAATATAATTATAACATTTATTACCGTCATATATACACAGACTAAAGAATATAACATAGTAGAAGATTATTTAAGTTGAGGAATAGACATGTGTTAGAAGTGCCATTCTCCAACACATATAGCTGTAATCCATACTTCATTTAATTTGGCTGAACTATATACTAATACAGAAGAATATGATATTGCTGTTGGATTTTATAAAAAAAAAAAAACAGTTAAAATTTAAGTAGATAAATTACCTTCATCTAACATTTGCATAACTGATAGTCATAATAGAATTGAATTCGCTTATAGTAAACTAAACAACATTTGATGAAAAGTAGAAATATATACTGAGAACAATAAATAATAATATAATGTATTTTGGAAAAAAAATGCCTTTATAAAAAATTATTTTGTGTCCTCTTGAATTGATAAAATAAATATTAAAAGTTGTACTATATAGATAGAGTAAAATTAACGTGGAGGACCAAACATATTTGGACGCACGGGTCCTGGCGGAAGTTTTGGTGGCATTGGACCTTTAGATGGCCTTGAACTATGATGATCAGATGATATTGAATGAGAACTTGTTTCACGTGTATTTTTTTTCTTGAGATGATGCATTTTTTCCACGTGATGATCCTAAAAGAGGATAATCCGATTCGACTTCTTTCATTTGTTTAATAAAAAGATCATTTCCAGAATCAAGACATGAAACAACTTTAAATATTTCGTGCAGTAACTAACAAGATGTCATCCTCAGTCGAAAAGAATGAATGTTGTTGAATATTTTTACCAGATTCACAAACAATATTGAAAGGTATGGGTGTGGGTGTGAGAGAAGAAGAAACACCCACACGCTCACAACATCACCCACATCCACACTCCACACCCTCAAGATGGTTTTTTGTATTTCCAAGAAAAATAAAATTTACTTTTGCAATAATATATTCTGTATCTTCAGATAAATCAAGTTGTAATTTTTGTGCAACATCACTAAATGATATTTTAGCATATGATAAACTAATCACTTTAATGCCTATTTTAATAGCAGTATGTCGTAATCTAGAATATTTATATAAGTAATCTTCGATTTCAAGAAATTTAACAAACCGAATAATAAGTGACCAAGTTTTTCTTGTTGAAAACGATCAGCATATGTTTCAAGAACTTCTTTAAATCGACTTAAATTACCAGCACGTACAGCTAAAGAAAATATAGAAATTCATATTAATATTTAAACAAAAATTCAATTTATTCTTATCTAACCTAACGTTAATTGTGCATATGGATCTAATAAACGTTTAAGTTGTGGAATGTTAAATACTGCTTTATCAGGAATATCTCTGAGAAGTAATTCAACAGTTATAAGAAATTTATGGGCCTAAAAAAGAAAAAATAATTTTTTGTCATAATTTCATTGAAATTTTTTATATGTGTATTTACATTCTGTCGAAAGTCAATATCTGTTTGTTGTGGAGCTTTTCATTTAGCTGTTACTAAATGTTGATGAACTTTCGTATATTCTAATAGCATGGGACGTATACGACTTTAGAAAAAAAATCTAAATAGTTTATTTTCTTTTTATTAACAAGGGTGCGTGTGAGTATGGATGTTGCTGCTCTGTTCTTATCTATACTCACCCCTCAATAATCGAACCAAAATTTTCATACTATAATAAAGATTTATTTTGATATTTCTAATAAAATAAAAGCTGCAAGTTTATTCTATAATATTACTTTTCTTAATAAAAGGAAATATACATTTTTTTCAGGTTTCTATATTATAAAATAAACAGTTCTGTAACCATTTGTATTTGAAAAAAATCAATACATGAAATAAAATATTCTCAATATTTCGGTCAAATTATAGTAAAACTCATCAATCATAAAATTAATGATCTTAGTTTTTTTTCTTTGATTCATCCGTCTGACTTCGATTCTTGAGAACAAATTCAATTTTATGATTGATTCACAATCTATATTCAAAACATCAAAGAAAAACAAGAGAATCATTCAAATTTTGTTAATTATAACCAGAAACGCAATAGCCATGCTCATTATATATCATTTTATGTCGTTAAAATGATCATAATAGAAACATTAGTTATAGTTCTTATCGCCATGCTGTCGTTAAAAATGACAGCTGTATTTTCAACATTATATAACGTATATGATGCTTGACGAATATGTATTCATTGAGCAGGAAGTAAAAAATAATAGCACATTATACAATCAATATATAGAGCAACACACACAGCACGTATATCATTAACAGTCTACAATGGCAAATCAGACTGTTGCCAGCTTCCTTACATTACCAGTAGAACTTGTGTATCGAATTTTGGATCATCAATCCGATTTCACACTTATCTGCTCAATGAGAAACATCTGTCAACGATTCAACAAAATCATAGACAGTTACGATCGATATCAGGTAAAGATTTTTCTATCATAATAGTCCGATATTTATCGATTGACTTTCGAATTATTTCTCATTCCTAGTGTCTCTGTTTAAGTAGAATGACTTCAATGAAATATACATGAATAAACTATTTGTTTTTCAAAATAATTCATTTTTTGTATTATAACAATATGAAAATGATGTCATGATCATCAAGAAAGAAGAGACAAAAAATTGTTTGTTGCTTTTTGAGTGTATCTTGTAACGATGCTTCTTTGTTTCTATCCTATTGTGTCCTTCTTATCCTTTGTTTCCGTTCTCTCTGATGAGCTGATATATAAATGTACGCTTTGTAACAAATCCATGCAATTCTCCATGAGGAGAAATATAACACACTATAATATAGCAACACAAATACTTTTTTTAAATATTATTTCGATAATAAATGTCAGATTTTAAAAGAAATTGACGACTTATAAACAAGTTTTTATCTTATTGTAAATAATATCATCAAAATTTCTTTGAGAAATATCCCCAACAATTATTTCTGTCAAAGCATATACCAGCATTCATTTGACTGATCTAACTCCAGATAACAGCGATAATTTGTATTGTCTTTCTTGTACCTTTTCGTGTAGACACTTACCACACTAGATCTCAACGCCAATCTAATTGGAGATCGTGGAACAAAACTTTTGGCACAAGCATTACAACATGACACAGTAGTTTTCATTTTCTCTTAGGCTATATCATATATTTACCTACACTTTTTCATGTAGACGGTCACCGCAATCAATCTCGTTCAAAATGGAATTGGAGATATTGGAGGACAATATTTGGGTGATGCATTACGGCACAACACGGTAATTCTAATTCTCTCTTCATTTAAACTATAACTGCACGTCGAACTTTTTGATCTAGACACTTCGCACGCTAAATCTCAGAGGTAATCAACTCGGACCTGTTGGGATAAAACATTTGACTGACGCATTACAACACAACACGGTACTTGTCATTTTCACTTCATCTGTGTCATATCTTTACCGCCACTTCTTCATCATCTAGACACTCAGTACACTTAATATCAGAGCTAATGATATTGGACATGTTGGGATAGAACATTTGGCTAACGCAATACTACACAGCATGGTAATTTTCATTTTCGCTTCGTTTGTATCATAGGTTTACCTCTTCTTTTTATTTAGTCGCTCAGTACACTAGATATTGGGTGGAATGAAATCGAAGATGTTGGGGCACAACACTTGCCTGACATATTACGACATAACAAAGTAGTTGTCATTCTTTCCTCAACTCAATATCGTGTTTATACATTCACTTTGTCATTTAGACACTGATCACGCTCAATCTCGAATGCAATCGAATTGAACATGTTGGAGCACAATATTTAGCTGATGGATTACGAAACAACACAGTAATTGTCATTCTCATTTCATCTATATCATATATCTACGCCAATTTTTTATCTAGACACTCACCACACTAAATCTCGCTCAAAATCAAATCGGAGCTTCTGGAGCACAACATTTGGCTGATGGACTACGACACAATAAAGTAATTGTCACTCTCTCTTTCCCTATAAGACACCTTCACCTCCACATTTTCATCTAGATACTTACCACACTTTGTCTCAAATCTAATCAAATCGGAGATGTCGGAGCGCAACATTTGGCTAATGCATTACGGAACAATGCAGTAATTCTCATTACCTATTCATTTCTATCACATGCTTACCTTCATATTGTCATATAGGCACTCATAACACTAAATTTAGAATTTAATCAAATCGGAGATGTTGGAGCACACAATTTGGCTAAAGGATTACGACACAATACAGTAATTGTCATTCTCTCTTCATCTATACCATATAATTACCTCCACATTTTCATCTAGACACTCACTGCACTAAATCTAGATAATAATAAGATCGAAGATATTGGAGCACAACATTTGACTCATGCATTACGACATAACACAGTAATTTACACTATCTCGTCAACTGCATTGTATCTTTACTTCCACATTTTCATCTAGACACTCACCACACTTTGTCTCGATTCTAACCAAATTGGAGATGTTGGATCGCGACATTTTGCTGATGCATTGCGGCACAACACAGTAATTCCCATTTCCGCTTCATCTATATCATATCTTTACTTCACTTTATTCTTTAGACACTCACGACACTAATTCTCGGAGGTAATGACATCGGAGATGTTGGAGCAGTACATTTGGCTGACGCATTACGACACAATACAGTAATTATCATCCTCTCTTCATGTATATCATATCGTTACCTCCACATTGTCATCTAGACGCTCACAACACTAAATTTTGCATCTAATGGTATCAGAGATGTTGTTGTAGCACAACATTTCGCTGATGCATTACGACACAATGCAGTAATCGTCATTCTGTCATCAACTATATCATATCTTTACTTCTAATTTTTCATCTAGACGCTCACCGCACTAAGTCTTCATAATGTACGAATCGGAAATACTGGAACACAATATCTGGCTGATGCATTACGGTCCAACACGGTAATCGTCACTCTCTTTTCATCTATGTCGTGTTTTTATCTTCGCCTTTTCGTCTAGACACTCACTACGCTAAATCTCTACAACAATGCAATTGGAGTTCTTGGAGCACAATATTTGGCTGATGCATTAAGATACAATACAGTAATTGTCATTCTTTCTCCATGTATATCATATATTTACCTCCGTATTTTTATCTAGTCACTCACCACACTTAGTCTTCAAGGAAATCAAATCGGAGAGGTTGGAGCACAACATTTCGCTGATGCATTACGGCACAACACAGTAATTGCCACTCTGTTTTCATCTATAACATATCTTTACCTCCTATTTTTTTATCTAGACGCTCACCACACTTAATCTCGCTTATAATAAAATTAAAGATATTGGAGCACAGCACTTGAGCAATGCATTACGACATAACAGAGTAATTTACACGTTCTGTTCGACTATATTTTGTCTTTACTTGCACTTATTTATTTAGACACTCACCACACTAAACCTCTGGGCAACTCACACTGAAGATGATACTATCGATAAAATCAACGAATTTTTAAAATGCAATAGAAAAGGACGAAAACTGTGAATCGCAATAATAAGTGTATTTCGGTGACGATGATCCGATGATTTTTCTTATAATTTTTACCGTTGATGTGTATTGTGATAATAATTTTTTGTTAGTATTTTTGCTCTATAACCATGGGGATGTTGCAACTATCTTGAGGGTGTGAGTGTACTTGTATATAGATTATTTCTTTATAGTCTTTACATATATATACATATCTTGTGAATTAGAAGTGAAATATATTTCTCAGACCTCTAGTTGATATATTTGAACTAAAATGTAATGCTTTGCGTTTTACTATAACAAACTTATTAAAATATGATACAGATTGTAACAGTGAATGGAAATTTAGCGTGTTGTACCATGTGTGTGATTAAATGTATGAGTAACAATGAACATAGTATTCACAGACATACTTATTTATAGTGATTAGTTTTTAATACACATAAATGGCTGATATTTGTTAGAAATATGCAACAGTAACTATGTTACTACGGTTTGCAGTATATTGTCTCTTTATCGTATTAATTACTATGAGAGAGAATCTTCTTGAAATTATCAATAATTTCATGACAGGTATTCGCCTGTGGTAGTTGCTTCAAAGATGTTTAATTCTGACATATACGTCTTCGTTCATACATTTTCATCGATAATGACATCAGCATATTAAACTAATCGAATTACACATGCCGCCAGAAGGAAATGTCTCAGAACGAACAGTCGTATTATTTGAATAGAGAATATGATGCAATGAATAAATTCAGTAAATAGAATGACTTTTATGGATACAGTTAAAAACCTTAAAGATATGTTTGACTTCATAATACCTTGTAACGTTTCTTTTAATCTATAATACAATCAAAAAACTATGCCTCAGTTTTGTGTGTAACTAATAGTTCATCACATTTACAAATATATAACTCAATGTATATTTTTTTTAATAATAAACTAGCGTCATCTATTCAAATGATTTTGAAGTCCATTAAATACCTAATCTTACTTTATATTCCACAAAAGACCATTTCCATCTTTCGTAAGTTTTCACAATCCAAAAAGTATTGTTCAGTATATTTTATTCGATAAAATTTTTTTTATGTCTTCGGACATACCTGGTTTCTATTATGATGCAATTCAACAACGTTATTATCGTATATCATCTCAACCATCAAATCCTATACCGAGTGCTCGTGCTATCAATGAACGTGCTCGACAAGAACAACTTATTACTAAACAACTTGATTTGATAAATTCTCATCCAAAAAAATCATCTCAACGACATAAAGAAAAAAAACGATTAATTAAAACTCGTCTATCGTTACTTCGTCAACGAGAATATGGTCAAACATCTATTAGTAATTTTTGATCAATTATTCATTTTTAAAACTTAATTTTATTATATTTAGAACTCTGTCATAATTATATTCAATCGAATTTTGTCGAAACACTTCCATCAACATGTTTTCTTGATAATTCATCATCATTTTCTCTTCAAGATAATTCACAATCTTTTGCCAATTATGATATGACAATAACATCTTCCGGTCAATGTATTCAATTAATAAACTATAAACTATATTTAAATCTTCTAAAAAATCCAATATATTCATATCAATTACAAACAAATCCAGTTGATGGTTATCGTTCATCCTATTTCATAGATTCATCATCACCATTCATGTCAACAACATTATTAAATGATGAAAATCATGTTATTATACGTTTTCTTCAATTTTCATCATTATCAACTGATCGTTCATTACTTATGTTATCAAATAATCCATCTGCACCAAAATATTATTATCAAGAAAATTGTCAAACTGTTCAATTATCATCTTCATTAGTAAATCATACATCACCATTAATGATTAAATGTTCTGGTCCATGTTGTTATTCAAAATCATTGGATCATTTTGCATTTAATATTAATAATTATTTGTATGTCTATGATCTTCAAACATTTCAATCAATTTGTTCATTACGTATTCCAATACGACGTGTGACATTAAATGATATTAAATTTTCATATGAAAATTCAAATATTATATATACAACAAATGGACATCAATTTCAACAATGGGATATTCGACAATCGAATCGTTCATGTTCCATAAGAATTCCAATACTTTGTTCAACAATTAAATGTTTACAAACAAAATTTAATTGTATTCTAACAAGTTCATTTGATGAACGAATTAATCTTATTGATTTACGTATGCCAACAAAACCTTTACTAACTTACGATCTATCATCATCATCAACAACAACAGTAGCACCAAATAATCCACATTTTTCATTTACAATTGATACTGAGACAGAAAATTTTATAGCTGCTTGTTCACAGTATCATATTGTTAATATATGGGAATTGAATTCAGGTCGATTATTAAATCGTATAAGATGTCCTATACCAGAACGTTTTGTACATACATCAGCAAAATGTTCAATAGCTTCTGTTGATAAAATACCAGTCTTAGGAATTTATCATCCAGAATATTGTCGGATAACCGAAATGATAAATAAAAAATCGTTTTGTTGAATTTATTCATAGAACATGTACATTTATTTTTAGATGGCATTAACATTATCTAGTAATAATTTTGAAGTAAACATCCACCCTGTGGCACTTTTCAATATTGTTCATGCATATGAACGTCGTAGTGAAAAGTTTGATACCATCCTTGGTACATTATTAGGTAAAGAATAGATATTTAATTGAAATTAATTATAAAAATTTTGTTTTTCAATATATTTTCTAGGTACACGTACAGCTGATTCAATTGAAGTTGTTGACAGTTTTGTTGTACCACATTCAACACATAGTGATGTAAATAAATTTAATATTAAGATTTGATGTTCTATATAAAGGTTTATTGTTTAGGCACTTTATAATGTCGACTATGCTTCAACAATGGCTAGTTTTTATCGTAAAGTAAATTCAACTCAAACAACTGTAGGATGGTAAATTGTATATCTTTTTTCATTCAATTTTTTTTATTCAATAATTCAGGTATTCAACCGGTGCCGATATGATTTCAGGTGCGAATTTAATCCATGAATTTTATACGCATGAAACACGTAATCCGGTTTATATTGTTGTTGATACAAGTTTGAAAAATGATGCAAGCTTTCAAATTAAAGCATATATAGGGTATAGAAATAAAGATAATCTAGAAATTGCATAATTATCTATTATTTTTTTCTAGAGCACCTTTTGGTGTTAAAGATAAAGATAAATTAAAATCGCATGGAACTATATTTACACCAATACCTGTTCGTCTTGTTAGTTATGATGAAGAAAAATCAGCAAGTAAATAATTCGAAATTTATTTTATTTGTCTCATTTGAATTTAACGATTATTTATTTTTGTTGTCTAGTTGATCTATTTCAAGCTGGAAAATTTAGCAAAGATTTTCAAGTTAAACCACCAGGTGAACTCGATCAAGTTCAACATGCTTTGGATAAACTTTTATTTATGCTTAAACATCTTACAACTTATGTCGATGAAATTATTGTTCGTATTTGTATATTTATAACAAAAATTTAATTTGCTTTTTTATTATATTAATACAGGAAGGTAAAAAACCATCGGACCCAAAAATTGGCCGTATGTTAATGAATTTAATCAACACAGTTCCACGAGTTGATGCTAAAGATCTTGAAAACATGGTCAATACAAGCATGAATGTATGTGAAATCTTATTTTATTTTATTTATGAATTAAATTTTTCTTTTGTTCAGGATCTTCTAATGATTCAATATCTCTCACAAGCAGTCAAAGCACAATTAGTACTCAACGAAAAGTTAACATCAACATAAAAAAAAATATCAATTTTTGTTGGTTTTATTCATTACAAAATAAAAGAATTGAGAGAAAACAAAAATGACTAAATCAAATAAGATTTCATTTTGACTGACAATCTTTATATTTTTATCTCTATTTGCATGTCAAGATTAATCAAGCAAACTATTATTTTCCTTAAGGCATTAGAGACAATGTGTTTTTTTAGCATAATCTTTAGTCATATGAAAAAAAATATTCTTATGAAGGATTTCTCATAATATAATTACGAGCAAGAGAAAAACAAAGTTAAAAAAATGATAAAAAAAAAGCCACCTGAATATCAAGTACATGATGTAGACACATCATTAATAATTAATTACATACAATACCAATGCTGAAATAATCGGCATATCTAATAATATTGAAAATATCTATATCTATGAAAACTTTTTGAGCATGAATAGTTGTTAACAAATATATCCGGAACTTTAACTGTTGCAATTCTATTTTTAATCAAACAACAAAAGAGTGTGTAATTAATTAATTTATATGAATAAGAGGAAAAAGTATCTAGATTAATCTAATAATAATACTCTTTTCATAGCATATATTATTATTATATAGGAATATAGCATAGCTCTTTTCAATAATATAAAAATTATAAAATTCTTTTTTTGCTTCAATTCTATTCATGAAGAAGAAGACAATTTTCTTATGTCAGATTTTAATATTCATATATTAATATATAATTGAAGATTGTAAAGAAAAAACTTTCTTAGATAAGCCTTTTAAGATGTAGAATATCTTATTTTTTTTATCTATATGAGTGAATCTGATATTGAGTTTAATCAAAATTCCTAATTGATTATTCTTAGCAGTGAACCAACTCCAACAATTTTATCATTGAATTCCAGCTCGAGAATACTAATAAAGTTCGATGATATCATAACAAATCAGTAGATACTCTTCCCTGTCAATCAAAACCAATAGAGAACGAAAGAAAATCTAATGTAAGTTAAATTTACTTATTTAGTATGTAAATACATGTGCGTGTATGTCACTTATTGAAACCATCTGCATCTTATTTCTAATTCCTTCGTCTATTGCACATCATCAAAAATAGAATTATCCTACAAAATAATATTTTATCATAAGTAAATATTTTTAGCAGTTTAATCGTGCTTGTATTGCCTTTGACTCGCCTTCGATACATGTCCAATTAATTCTATCTTTTATGATTTAGAAAAAATGCAAAAAAATAAAGGAGTTGATATTTTTTTCCTTGTGCTATCATTTGCGGTCATGAAATTTTAAAATTGATAATGCCTTATATAAATCTCGATTAAATAAGTTCATTACAAAAATATCTCTTTACTTGCTTGGAGATATACTCTACTAACTAGATTATTATTTTATAGCGGAAGTAAAGAAAAAAAAGAGAAAGTAAGGAAGGCAAATATAGTAAGGAGAAAAAATAATATTACCTTCGAGACATATATTTATAAAATATGAATAATAAGAATAAAAAAATTATTTATTTCGAATAAGTAGGAGTTTAATTGAAAACTAAACTATCTATAAATTTAATATAAATATTTCTTTATGCTTTTATTAAATTAGATAACTTACAGAAGTATATTAAATAATTTCGAACTATATATATATTATTAGAATGTGTGATGGCATGAATGGAAAGAAATCTGTATTGCAACAAATTAAAGTTTAAAATAGATCCGTCTCACAACATCTATCTTTAGTATATATAAATTTTAATTTCCTCTTATGTGACACAGTAATAATTAATAAGGGTAGAAAAAAAGAAGGAGATACCGACATGCTGTAAGTATATCATTGTCTGTTTTTTTTTCTTTCATTGAAACAACAATACACGGCTTATAAATCTAATAATTTTTTATATATTATTTTAGAATAGTGATTAAGTTCAGAGAGTTTGTTGACTATTTTATATACGATTCTTATTTGTAAGTAAATGTCAATCTATAGACAAGAAAAACAAAAAATTATATTTACGACGAGTTCGATTCTTACCAAAAACATGGCTGTTACTAATAATTCAACGCCAACTATAGATTCATTTAATACAATACATGAATTGACATGGAATGAAATTCTATATGATAATGGTCTAGCAACACATGTAGCACGATCATCATTTCGTTGGTTAACAATATGTGTTTGTTTAATTGGCATTATTGGTAAGATTTATTTATTTCTTTTAATTAAAAATATCCTGCTTTGTTTTCAGGAAATATGTTAGCTGTTTATACATTACTTCGTCGACGAATGCGTACACTTTCAACGTATACTTATTTAACAGCATTATGTATTTCTAATATAATTACACAAATAGCTGTAATTATTTTTGAAGTTGAAATATTTGTTCCACCAAATCATTTAAATTGTTTTGTTGTTTCAATTGCTAAAGCATTTGCATCAAGTACATTTGGTTTATCAACATGGTAATAAGATTAAACTAAATAGTATTTAATTTTCTTCTTTTTTTTTTAGGATTACAGTAGGTTTTACTGTTGATCGATATGTCATGATTTGTTTTCCATTTATTGGTAAACATAAATGTACTCGTCGTAATGCAATTTATATAATAATAATTTGTCTTTGTTTTTCAATAACTTATTTAATACCACAATTATTAGCTCAAAAATGTGATCCTATTATACAATATAATTCAAGCGGAATAAATAATACAGATAATTCATCATCGACAACAACTCAAAATAAAGCAATATTATCAATCTATTGGGTAACTAGTTTAAGTGAAATGGGTAAATCATCAGCATATCGTTTAACAGTCACATTATTTTTTAACTGTCTACTTATTCGTATCGTACCATTTCTAGTTATATTTCAATTAAATTTTCTTCTTATAAAAACACTTGCACGTGCAAAACGACGACATAGACAAATAAATCCATTTGAAGAAAATCGTAATGATGTGACATATATGCTTGTAATTGTTATATCAACTTATCTTCTTTGTATAATACCATCGATACCATTTGCTGCACTTTTTGCTTACAATCCAACTCAATATATTGATATTTCTTTACAATATCGAATGTTTCAATATATGGATGATCTTACACAATTTTTAATGATTCTTAATTCGGCATTACAATGTTATTTATATATATTTTTTGGTAAACGTTTTCGTCGAGAATTATCAAGTTTTTTATGTCATGTATGTATCAAATATTTTTATATGAAAGTACCACAATCTTATTTTAATCATGAACGAGAACAATTTAATCATGATGTTTGGAATCCTAATGATGCTTTTGAACTTGTACTTGAAGGTGAATGGTCAACTACTAAAACACAAGAGACATTAACTGGATTAGAATTTAGTTTTCATTATACAAGACGAGGTAGTCGTTTACAATCATCAGCAGGACTACAAACTCGTTCAGGATCACTTGATGATGACAAAAGACTAAGCGTAGGTTTAATAAAACCTATTAAAAAATCGTGTTAATTAATAAATTATTTTCTTATGTGTTTCTAATATATAATATCCTTCCGTCCATTTATTATTTTTTATGAAATAAAAAAGTACGCATTAAAATGTATGTCATATTTTATTTTAATAAACGATATGAGAAAATGTAATATCAATTTGTTTACACAATAATCCTAAAGAGAAACATATTTTTTCCGCTAAGAAAAGATCTAGGCTATTCCATTTACAGACGAATGCATTTACTGTACACATGATTAAGTTAATTAATATATGATGTGTATGTAAACGTATTTCCTAGTTTTATGATTATAAAAACAACTTTAACTTATGCATAATAATTTTCATGGTTGGGACTAAATTTTCATAGAAGCAGTAAATAAAAGAATTTAAAATATTAATATATGTAATAATATCATCTGATCATTTCAATTTAATCTTCATTACGATCGATACTAGTACACATAAATGTTTGTTTAAAAAAAAGAAGAAAGGAAATTTTTTTTGTTGGAATCAAATGCACACAGAAACGTTGTTTGTAAAACAAATGACAATAAGATATATATATATAGGATAAAAAAAACCATGAACGTATTTTTTTTGTTACATATACTAGCAGATAAAAAGTAAAAGAAGATCTTATACATGTTGTCGTAGTTATGTTTGTACTTTCTCTTTGCCTAAGACGATAAAAACAAGAAGAATTTATTTCACGAAACGAAATTGGAAAAAAAACGAAAAAGAAAAAAAAAAGATAAAGAATGCATTGTATGAAGTTTATGTCTATGGTTTTTCTTTATAATAATAGTAATAATAGAAGAATATAAGTTAGAAAGGAATACAATATTCATGAGACGAAACCAACGAGAGATTTTTTATTTATTTTTAATAATTTAACAACGACAGCCACTTTGATTATCATTAACAGGTTCATGATTCGAATTCATATTATTAAGTTTAACTTCAATTACTAGAAAGAAAGAAACAAAAAAATAAATAAAAAAAATTTTTCTTATTTTAGAACTTACAATCTTCTGGTCGACGTTCAGGTGTTTCCATACCCGGTAAAGCAGCTGCCACTCGTCGGAATAACTAGAATCAAAAGAAAAATCTATTAATATCTTATGAATAATTAATGACGGAAATACTTGTTTAACATTATATCCTGCTTTAGCACTTGTTTCAATAAACATAACATTTAATTCTTTAGCTTTTCTTTCACCATCTTCAGTTGATACTTGTCTTTTATCGGCCAAATCTGTTTTATTACCCACTATAACAAAAAAAAATATATTTAATTTAAATGAATAGAAAAACAAATGTTTTTTTTACCAAGCATTATTATAACATCACTACCACGTTCTGTTCGAACATCATCAATCCATTTCGATGTTTGTTGAAATGAATTTGAATCTAAATATTTACTTTTTTAATATTATAAAATTAAAAATTATTTTTTACTTGTTATATCAAAGACAACAACAGCAACAGTAGAATCACGTATATAACTTGGAATAAGACTTCTGCAAAAAATACATACCTTTCATAGAAAATTAAAAGAATAAAAATAGATTTTCTTACCTGAATCGTTCTTGTCCTGCAGTGTCCCTAAAAAGTAATAAACAACATAAAAATAAGATTATAATCTTTTCAAAAAAGAAAATTTCTACCATAATTGCAATCGAACAGTTCGATCTTCTAAATACATCGTCTTGGAAAGAAAATCAATACCAATTGTCGCCTAAAGAAAATATTTTTATAAATTACATTTCGATCAAAAATATTTTTCTACTCACTTGATATGTGTTATCAAAGCTGTCATACATAAAACGTGTTATTAATGAAGTTTTTCCAACTAGAAAGACATAATAAATAAAAAAACATAATTTGGTGTTTTGCTTTCTTACCACTTTGTTCACCAAGAAATACAAGTTTAAATTTTCGAAGTGGATTTCCGCCTTGTTCTGATGACATTCTTTATTTAACTATTACTTTTTACAAATTTAAAAAAAAAATCTAAAATACAAAAATAGGCTTGTTAAGATTTTATATCAGTATCAAATTCGAGTGGAATAGTACTATCATTAAACGAACTTTTCTAATGATTCAATCTAATAAAATTACGAAGCAGTTGCCAAAGACCGAAATAATACATTATATATTTTGTATCAGACAGATAAATAAATAAACCATCATTTTCATTAAGGTTTCAATAACATAATAAAACTTATCTTGTATTATGTAAATATTTGTTCATAACAGCTTTTCATTTTTGGTATAAAATTTAACAATTCATATGTTTAAATTTTATTCTTTTGTTTCCAATTCGTTTTGATCGTGTAACTATAGTATAAGTACTGTTTTGTTAACGAGTAATCATCAGAAAATTAGGTAAAGTCTATTTGACAACGTGGAAAAATGATTAATCGAAAAAGAGATGTTTGAAAATCTTTACTTTCGTCAAAAAGCAAATAAGTAAATAAAACGTGTCGATTATAGTAACAGTAGGCTAACAATAATCCAATCAGATTTTAGTGGTTAGACTTTATTCGAAATTTTATCGATTGGTTATATATTCTTTGAGTGATAGATGTCGTCTATCAACACATTTGATAAATTGTATTTTAAAAAAAAATAATTAAATCTACAAATCATATTTAATAATGATTCTTGTTACCAAATCTATTTTAGACAAGAAGAAAAAAAACAGATAATAATAATAAATTCATCTAGTGAAACATGTAATAATGAATGAGTATAACATTATGTAGATATTCTCTTGGGAAATCTTTATTTTATAATTAATAAAAAAAATTTGATACATGACAAAACTTCAAATATATAATCATGTATTTTTTTGCGATCGATGATTTGTTAAAATCTAAGATTATATATCTGTATAATTTCATACTGTTTTACTGTTACTAAACGCAAGAAAAAGACACATACAAAAAAAGAAGTACAATATGTATAAATACAATCCTTTCATTTATTTAATATATGTATATATAGAGAGAGAGGTTTTATTCAGCTCGTATTAATTTTTTAAGGTGATGAGCACTGGTACTTCGACGACGTATTGATGTAAGATTAAAATCTGGAAAACGAAATTTGCTTTCTTTGTGTTCTTTATTTTCATCAAGATCAGGTATAATAATATTTTTTCGATTAGTTTGTGGTGATGTAACATTAGTTAAATCGATACTACTTTTATTTAATCGAAATTCAATACCACCAGTTGCACTACCTGTTGGTATTGTTATGGATTTCGTTTGATCATCATTATTAATATTTTCGTTGGTTTGTTGTTTTATACGGGGTTTTATAATAGTTTCTGTACGAATAGTTGGAGAAGGTGAACAAATACGTGAAATATGTGTAGATGGTTCATATTTTGTTAATAATAGATCATCACGACGAAAATTTGTTAGATTAATTGGGGTTGAAAAATTTGTATTTATTGTTAAAGGTTGTGATGTTGCGAGAGGTTTTTGAGCTAAGTCATTGATTAACTAGAGAAGAAATTATTTAGTTTTGTTTATGAAAATAAAAAAATTTTAAACAAACTTCATCATGACTATTTGTCTTTGGTTGTCGATAAGAAAGAAATTCTCGTTCAAGTTGTCGTAATGCTATTGATGGATGTCTTGGTGTTGATGTTTCACGAAGACTTCGTGAACGTGTATCCATTAACATATTTTGTTGATCTGCACGATGACGATTATGAACATATTGAGCTCGTTCAGCTGCTGCTCGATAAAATTCGAAACTATTACAATCACCTCGTTGTTTTCTTCGATAACAATCTAATTTAGTAAAAAAAAGAATAAATAGTTTTTTTTCTTTCAAAAAATGAAAATTATTCTACTAACTTCCACAATAAATATCATCACCTTCTTCATTTAATGAATATCCAGTTAAATTTCGTTTACATATACGACAACGAAAACATCGATTATGATAAATCTAAAAGATAATATTATTTTTTTTTGTCTTAATTAGTAGAATAGCAAAAAAAGATTTACATGATTTGTTGTTATTTTTTTTTCAACAGCATAAACAAGTGCTCCACAAGCAAAACATGTATTTTGACTGATACATTGTTCAAGTAATGTGGCCATTCTTGTTTCTAAATATATAATAAATCATATTCGGATTTGTATCGTAAGAGAGAAAGAAGAAGAAGGATAAAATGAGATATCGAATGAAGTATAGTATTAAAATATGTTAATCTGCTATTATCCATTGAACAAGAAGAGAATGTCAGCTATAAGAAATAAGAGATCGTACAATATATAGTAAAAAGAGAAAAAGAAACAAGAACGAAAATGAAAATTTAATATCTTTATTTAGTAACAAAGATTGAATGAAATGAGACATGAAAACGAAAAAACGAAGAATAAATAGAGTTTGAATATAATATCCAATGACGACCTCTTTTTATGTCTATCATGTCTTCATGACGACTAATATATTATTTTCTTTTCAATGATATTATATTCAATTCTTTGGCCATGCATTGTTAATTATCATTAAATTAGTTCTATAATTGAACGGACAACAGTGCGGTTACTTTTTGTTTCTCATCTATATAACTTACAAAGAAAAATAATAGAAGAAGAAGAAATAATATAATTAATTCAAATGAGTTTTGTCTTCTTTTATCCACCTCTATACTTCTACCTTCTTTTGTTAATAGTGATATATCATTATTAGTAAACACAAAGCTAATGATGTTTTTTTTTGTTGAAAAAATAGAAACTATGAGAGTGTATATTTAGAGCAGATAACATGTCTAAGATCTGTCATAGACTGTCTATATGAATACGTATATACATAAATATATATACATATACATATCATTTGACTCTCTAACTGACTCGTATCGTACAATTTGATCAAACCTGGCATAGGAAACGTACATGTTTAATGATGAGTCGTATGATAGGAGCAAAAATAATCGTTGTCGAGCGTAACACGACAACGCAATATATACATATAATTGTTAGCATTGAATGAAAAACGTCCTCTGACTGAATCATCAAACATGTATAACTACGATAATGATAACCTTCAAGTTAAAAAGAAATCAGTCGATTTCCTTCTTTTTTTAACTATTGATATTTTATATCTATATTTATTGATTTATTGATTTATTAAAAAAAAAAAAGTAAATGATTTGAAAAAAATAAATTTCATATTGAATTCAAATATTGAATCATATACACTCATATGACCTTCATTTATGTCTACATCATTTTCTATAAATAAATTTTTGAAAAAAAAATATTATATTCGATATATTGTCGAAAGTTCGGTGTTAGATAAACTAATTTTTTTTCGATTAAAAAGAAAAAAACGTCATAAAAATCTTATTTCGACTTTAACCTTGAAGTGTATCATCTTTTGTTTTGCATAGAGATAAGCAATGAAACCTTGCGACAACGCCATACCTTCCGAAAAAGAAAAACTTGATAAGAAATAAACTTGTCATCACAATGAGTGAGCAACACAAGGCAGAAAAAAAATAATTTGACTCTTATCATGGGTATATATTAACACGATTTCGCTGTAAATTTTGCTTGTTGTCAACAACATATCTAACTGAAATAACACATACAATGTTTCTTCGTTTATGTCTTGCCGTTTGTTTGGTTTTGGCCGCTGTTAATGGTCGTGTTGTTAAAACAAAACCATTTCTTTCACAAAGATTAGTCAACGAAATTAATGCAGTACAATCATCATGGAAAGCAGCACCATCAAAATTTATGTCATGGTCAGAAAAATCACTTAAACGAATGATGGGTGTTCGTCCAGAATATTTCGAACAAATCAAATCAATTGAAGCAATTGAACATGAAATCCCAAATGATTTACCAGTTAATTTCGATGCTCGTGATAACTGGCCAACTTGCGCATCAATCAAAGAAGTTCGTGATCAAGGAAGGTCAGTATTTATTTTAATAATATAAATATTTAAAATAAATCTTTTGGAAAATATTTTAGCTGTGGAAGTTGTTGGGCTTTTGGTGCTGTTGAAGCTATGTCTGATCGTATCTGTATTGCTTCAAAAGGTGCTCAAAACTTTCATATTTCAGCTGAAGATCTTACCGGTATGTATTTTCGTTTTCTTTCAAATAACTTATAATGATGTTCATCTTCTCTGTAGCATGTTGTTCATCATGTGGTTTCGGATGTGATGGTGGTTTCCCACAAGCTGCTTGGGCATACTTCAAAAGTGACGGTTTAGTTACTGGTGGTAATTACGACACAAAACAAGGTTGTGAACCATACACAATTAAAGCTTGTGATCATCAGTATGTTTATTTTTTAAGCTATCGTTTTCTTTTTCTATATAAAATTTTCTTCATTTGTCTAGTGTCAACGGAAGTAAAGCACCAGTAAGCCCTAAAAAAATATATGATCTTTAAATTTTTCTATTTCTATAAATTTTAGTGCGGAGATGAAGAACCAACACCACAATGCACAAAGAAATGTATCGATGGTTATCCAACTACATATACCAAAGATAAACATTTTGGTGCAAGTGTTTATTCAGTTCGTTCCGAAAAACAAATTCAAACTGAAATCCAAAAAAATGGTCCAGTTGAAGCTGCTTTTACTGTCTATGCTGATTTTCTTACATACAAATCCGGTGTTTACAAACATACATCTGGTTCAGTTCTTGGTGGACATGGTTTGTATTTATTTGGATATTGTTTCTTGTAATTATTTTTCTTTTTTTTATAGCCGTCAAAATTCTTGGTTGGGGTGTAGATGGTTCAACACCATACTGGCTCGTTGCTAACTGTAAGTATATCTATTAAATAGTAATTTTTAACGATTCTAATATTTTCTTTTGTCTAGCATGGAACGAAGATTGGGGAGATAAAGGTTTCTTTAAAATCCTCCGTGGTAAAGATGAATGTGGTATTGAAGATGGTATTGTTGCTGGTTTACCAAAAGTTTAATTAAACAACAGAAATATAATTAACTTTCATTTTTTTTTCTTTAATTTTTTTTCTATTTCTTCTTCTTATTTATCTTGTGAGACATCTACTCCACTAAAAAATTCATACTTAAAATCTAAATTTATAAGTATATGAAGCGAGTTATAATTGTGAAACAGTTTTTTGTACAAAAAAAATTCTTAAGATAATATAACAAGGAAATCATTCAAGTTTTATAAAACTTTAAATTATATTTTATATAAAGTTATACAAAAAACCTGGTGAAGTTTTAGTTATCTTCTTGTTAACACGACCGGGCTTCCCATAGGTGAAAGTTAAGATAAGATAACACTGATATAGCAACCTTTGTATTATTCTAAAAGAATCGTCGAAAGCAACAAATATTTCTTTTGTCATGTATATAAAGCGGAGAAAAATTTGGATAGTTTATATGATTGATAAGATTGAAATGATTAATATATTTAACAGAAAAAACATTATGAATTTACAATAAAATACAGAATTATTTATCGTTTAATAAAATGTAATTCAAGAAATCTAAATATAGGAAAAGTGATTGCTGTAAAAAGAAATCCACATACAAATCCTAGATCTGGACTATGTCCATTATTATTTATTGCAATAGCTTTAGGAATTAAACCTTGATACCAAGTTTGTGACATTCCGAGTATAATTCCAACAATTCCAATTAGACCAGATAAAATTGCAGCAATACTAATTGGTAATACTTTTCGATTATTCCATATATTAAAATCATAATTTCGATATGAACAACGTCGAAATATGAAATGTTCTTCAAATAGGATAACAATAAATATTGAGAACCAATAGGAAATAACATCCGTAAATGATGTTAATGCACTATTAAAATTACTTGCACCAGCAATACCTAATATTGCAGCAATGATACTGCCAATAATAATATATAAAATTCGTGGAATACGCTCGAATATTGACGCGATTACTTGCGATGATAATGATAAAGAATAAATATTTGGAATATTACATGCAACAGTTGATAATGCAAATAAAATAAGTATAAATTTACCAAAAATACCTAGCGATAATAAACTAGCACCAAGTAATCCACCGACATTATTTTTTTCATAGGCTTGAGACCAATTTTTATTTGTATATGTCCCTGTATAAACAGCTGCACCAAGTAATTCTATTGGAATCATCGAGAGAAAATTACCCATATAAGTAAAGAAAAAGATTTTAAATTGACTTGTATTTTCAGGAAAATATGTATTATAATCAGCTGAAAATGAACACCAACTAATTGCAGTGCCAAGACATAATGTACCGAAACTTATTATACCAAAAATATTCCAATGATTAATATTATCTGCTGTAATTGCGTTTACAGGTGTCTAAATAAATATTCAATAAATCCACACGTTCTCTCTTTGTTATTTTTAAAAGTTGAAATAATCTTTAGGAATCTTACCATTGAAGAATGTGTCATATATTTTGTACTAACTACCGCTACAATACAAAAGCCAATAAAAACTGGTATCCATGAATATCTTTCATATGTATGAATCCATTTATAACCTACAAATGAAATACACATTGATAATATACATATAATAATAATTGCAGTCGCCATAGGTAATTTATCATCTGTTACGACACGTAATGCTTGAGCTCCAGTTGTACTATTCACAGCAGCCCAACCAAGTGCGTTAAGTACATTAAGAAATGCCATAATCGAAGCACCATAGTAACCCCAACTGTACCGAGAAAAAGCCATTGTACGTAAACCTGATGCTGGGCCAAAACAAGCTACTGCTGCTATCGGAATAATACCAATTATATTGAATAGTATTATTGTAACAAATGACTCATATAAGTCTAACTTGAACACAGCTGAACCAAGTGTACCCATAGCAAAACATGGAATAATTATATTTGCACCAACCTTAAAAATGATAAACGTAGTTCAATCTAGTAGAAATTATATATATCCTACCCATATCATTCCTGTATTAATTATTTTTGAATCAGTTCGATGCTGTGGTAAAACACGTTCGATACCACGTTCTTCTACATTAACAAAGTTATATTTCTGCACGACTTTCGCAAGTCGACTACAAATAGAATTAGATTTTCCATGTGAAGAACTTCTCGTTAAAGTAATAATGTGATCAGTACTATTTTTGTGAAGAGAATTTAGTTCATCTCCACAGTCATTAGTAGTTAAAGGAGCAATGGAAGATATTGTTATTGTACGAGAACCATTCGACATTTTAGAATTTTATCTAAAAACAAATAAAACTGTATTATTTTTCATACAAAGATATTATCTATCAGAGTTAGAAAATACAAAAAGACGAAATGTGAAAATAAATGAACAGAACGAAAAATTTCAAATTAGTCAGATATCAACCATTGCCTGTATATATGAGAATTATTTGGTGAGAGAAAAATGTTCACTACATTCGTTTATGAATAGAATGGAAAGAAATGAAAACTAGTCAAACGCGAACTATAACACATGTCGTACCGTTTTTCCTTCTTCTTCGTTTGATATTATAATCAAATGATATACAAATCGATTTATAGCACTCTATGTTTAGTTTTTCGAAATAAATACTTCACGAGATTCCTTTCATTATTTATATATCAGATACTTTTGCTTATATTTTTATAATAAACAAAAGAAAAGAAAATCAAACCAATTATTTTGGCCAGACACGCAGCGAAAGATTTCTATGCATATTAATATAGAATACAGTGGTTACAAATTGAAGAGCAGAAGAAAAAAAGAAACGAGGTTCAAACAAGAGATTACCAATATAAGAAAACAAAAAAAATAGAAAGAAAGACATGAAAAAAAAAATAATAAGATTATGGCTATAAATTATGATGAAGTCAATGGTATTGGTTGGATAATTGCTGATGATATATTATTAGTATCATTTGTTGTAGCTACAGATAATGGTACTAAATATTTCCAATGATTATAAGGTGATTCCATTGATGAACTAACACCACTTGATGAATGTGATGAACCAGTACTTGATGGTGCTGAATGTTTAAAATTTTCATTTAATTGTTGTTGATCAATAAGTAATCCTTTATTAATTAATGGCGTAATAATACCTTTCGGTTTAAATTGCCGTAGATGTGTTCCATGATGATAATGTGTCGATGGAAAAGATGTTCCATTTATTTTAGGTGAAGATTCAATATTCGACGATACTTGTAAAGGAAGTGTATCTGATGAATAATTACCTAAACGACGATGTACTGGACATGTTGTCAACATAGGTGAACGTTCATATAAAGCTAAATATATGAAAATAAAATATTTTCATATCAATTTTTTCTTCGACATACTCGTTTGATTTCTTGAACAACCATGTGATTGACATTCTTCATATTGATTATGTGTATTAAAAGGTGTTAATGTATGATAAAAATTTTCTTGTGGATTTTCATTATCTAATTGATTCATTGGATTGGTATTTAAATGTATTGTACCATTTTCATTCATTGTTGAATTATGTAATAAATGCCGACAATACATTTTTGGTGATTGTGGATAAGCAAATGGAATTAATTTACCATCAACAGACACAACACCATGTTGTAAACAAGATGATGTTGTCGCATAATCAGGGTTAAGATTTTTACGTAAACCATCACAATAATATCCTGAACCATTGATAGATTTTACATGAGCTAAATGAGGAAAAAAAATTTTATTTCGGAAATTTTTATTATTGAACATACCGATTAATTTCTTTCGTTGTACTAATCGTAATATACACATAACAATAAGTATGATAATTAAAATTAATAGAATTCCAGCAATAATACCAATTGTTAAATAAAGTATATCAGAATTTTTTTGTGTTGGTGGTAAAGATGGATGAATTAAATTCTGTTTAATATAAGAAGGACGTTGAATTTTAGTAATATTCTCAAGAACTTCATCGAGATTTGTTGCTGAATTCATTTGATTTACACGAGTGTGATGTTCAGTTGGGACAGATATTTCAATTGAATTACTCATTGAACTTAGACCATGATTAGAATATGTTGCCATACGTAATTCATATTCTTGATTAGATTCAATTTTAGAAATTGTATATGAATTTATCGGAGGAGAACGTAAATTTGGTATTGATATTGATGTAAAATTTACTTTTGAATGTATCGGTCGATAATAAATAACAAAACCATCGATTATTTCATTATCTGTTTGATTTAATAACTAAAAATATGAAATTTTGTTTTGTCATTTATGAAAAAATAAAATTTAAATCTATAACATACCTTCCATTTTAAACTAATTTGTCCTTCATTAGTTATCCAAGCTTCAGTTATTTGTGGTAAAATTGAATTCGATTGATTTCGGATGAATTCTAATGCAATACGTTTTGCAGCACTTATAACGAATTGTTTACCATTAGTATCGAAACCAACTAGACGAAATTTATATGTTTGACTTGATTGTAAATTATTTACAATTGCATGATTGATTGAACGATTATAAAAATCATCTCTTGCCATCCATGATGTTTTCGGATGAATAAAACGATATTGTATTTGAATAGAATTTAAATGATTTTCAATTGATTCATTAAATTTCCATGATAATTTAATCGCATTATTATCTATTTGATGAATATCAATAATTTCTAATTTTGATACTAAAAATGAAAATTATTTTTTTCTATTTTATTGAATAAGAAAAAAAACTAACCAGGAATATTGAATCCTAAACCATTTACATAAACAAAACATTTAGCTGTATTTGTATCAAACCCGAGTTTTGATGCGATACATTCATATATTCCACTATCGGATTTTTGTGCTGAAACAATGCGTAAACCACCAGATGAGAGTATTTCATAACGACGCATAAGATTTAAATTAATTATTTCATTATTATGTAACCATTGTACAGTTGAACCAGGTTGAGTTAAACAATGTAATTGAACTGTTTCACCTTCATAGACAGTACTATTATTTGGGCCGAAGATAATTAAAGATTTTTTTACAGGAATTTTCACTTCAGTTTTATCTGCACTGTTTGGAAGAACAAGAGCAGTACTTGCTTGAGCAGTACCATAAGAATTGCGACCGATACATTGATAAATACCTTCTTTCGGTTGATTGAGTGTTAGTACACTACCTAAAGAAAAAGTATAATTCATCTTTGAGAGAGAATTTGTTCTAGTTTATCACTGATCTATATACCTGTAACAGGTGATCCATTGATTGAAAAATCTTCTCCATTATATAACCAACTAATTACAGGTTCCGGCCGACCACGGAAGCCACATTTAATTGATATATTTTCATCTCTATTGATCTGTATTAATGAATCTGGTCGCTGAACAATTTTTGGTGGTTCTAGAATAATAATTCAAATATTTACAATATCTTCGTGTAATAATAATTTATTATCATACCTAATACTTCTACTAATGCTGTATAAGCAATATCAGATTGTCCATTTGAGCTAGATGCTCGACATATATATGTTCCACGATCATCCAAATGTATATTATATAAATAAAGTGTACCATGTAAAACTTCACTTCGTCTTTCCGGTAAAATATCTCCATATTTTTCCCATTCAACCGATGGTTTTGGCCAACCAGCAATAACACATTCAATAGAAAAATTATCTCCAACAAGAACTCTATTAAAATTTCAAATATGAAATTATTTTATAAAACAATAACTAAAATAAATTACCTCGAAGCTGGTGGTGGTTTATATACAGTCAATAATGATCGATATTCTTTTGGATTTGTTGGTTTGTTTAAAACTTCTAAAATTGTTATTTGACTATTATTTACAATTTGTTCCGTTACAGGATTTTTTGCTGAACATTGATATCTTCCTGCATCTGATTGTTTTACATCAATAATATGTAAATTACCACTAGGTAAAATTTTGTAATGATCTATGAGATAGAAAAATTCTTTTCTATGAAATAAATATTATTTTTTTTTTGCATACTTGAATTCGATTCAATTTCTATGTAATTATCATTTAAAGTAAATATTGGTATTGGTTTAGGATTTCCAATAGGTAATTCACATGGTATAACAGCAATATTTCCTTCTGTTATATTTAAAATATTATTTTCATTTTTCGATACTGTAAATGGATCTAAAGCTAAAAGAAAAAAAAAAGATGAGAAGACTATTGTAATTAATTCTTCTTTCCGTAGACAAACATCATCGACCAAAGGAATTATTCATTGAATACACTCGCCACATGTCATCATTTAAGAAAAAATTCAATTGATTTTATATTCTCAATTAGCTAGTTCATCTTTGACTAAGTACTATAGCTAGTTATTGAATAAATAAAAATAAGAAGGCGTCGCGCGCGCGCCCGCGTGCATGCACGCATCTTTCTTTTTAATCACCCGCAGTGAATAACGCCCATAATGTTTGTAAGTAAAAAGCATTGGTCATCAAGCAATTTATGAACCTTAATTTCCGAGCAAAATTTGCTTTTGGTGTTAAGTGAATTAGAAAGAAAATAATATCCGGATTATGTGTGCATGACCGACGGTTTAAACAATATTGATTCATTATTCATTTATTCTGTAAACGGTCTTTATCATTGTGATGTCGTAACAATTCTGGCATTAGATTCATAATCGTATGCTGATGTGTATATCGACAATAAATTTATATTAAAGAATAAATCATGTTCCTTTCTGATAATTGTAAAGTGATGAATCGCGTCTATCTATTTTCTCATTTTTTTTCCAATCACAAGGCTATGTATTTATATATATAATCATCAGAATTAATGATCATTCAACTTCATGACTGGTCACTTATCTTTTCTTCACACTATTCCATCATTTTCATTGAGATAGCCTATGGCTCATGATGACCTTTTCCTTTCTCTTTTTTTTTTACTCTAATTTTATCAAGACAAAACAATGATGACAGACTTTTGACTCATGGGAAATTCTTTCTGGCGATGTAGAAAGCGACATTTTACTAGATTGTGCTGATACATTTTGACCATCATCATCATCGCTCGAATCTATTGAATATTATTCACAGACATGATGAGCTATTATATGTGTGTGTGTGTGTGATACAAGTCAAGAATGAACTTACATTACGTAAGTGATTAAGCTTGCAATGCTCTAATTGCAAGCGAGAGAAGACATGTGTCTATATTCTCAACATCGTACTGTTTACATATTCATATATCATATTGAGATCTCTCATTTACTCACTTTCACTTGAGAGTCTGTTTAAACAACTGCTCATGTTCTTGATTACCATGATAAAAAATAAATAGAAGTATCTCAAGGCAATGAAAGAAATCGATAGAAATTTTTCTAAATCAGATTTTTGACTAAATCGTTTTAAGATTAATCGTATCTTAGAACATCCATTTAGAGATTAATAATCAATAGACTTCTCTTTTATTTCATCGTGTGCAGACAATCAGACTATAATACACAACGACGAAGGCAATGGAATCAAATTAACTAGAGTAACCACTATGACTATCGCTTTGACCGGAGGGACGATAGACTATTTTAATGAGTCATGAAAGGTGCTAGTGCTCTTATCGTTCGTCATTATTTTAGACAAAGACCAAATGAAATAATAATCAAAGAAAAAAAAAGCCTCACACCTCTCTTTAATGAACCATTGAAAATTATATTAAAAAACCATAAGAATAAATCAATTGGCTACTCTTTTTTTTATAACTATTCTAATAGAATAAGAATGACTTACTTGGTAAACTTAACATCGATGGTTCACTTTCAAGTAGACCATAACGAGTTGAAACAACACAAGAATAAGTACCCGGTTGTGTATAAGCCGTATCACCAAATTGAAATATACGTAATTCATTACCATGCATTTCAATAATCGATGGATTTAATTCAATACGTTGACCAACATGAGTCCAATAAGCAATGGATCCAAATGGTGTATCACTACTTTCACATGTTAAACGTGCTTCAGATGATGAAGGCAAGACGGCAGATTGTGGACGTACACGAACTTTTGGTAAACAATCTAAATTAGAAATTAATCTTTTAAATAACAAATTTAGATATAATTATTATACTTACAAATGGTATTTAAATGTATTATGACGAGAAAATAGATCAATTTCATTGTGCATATTATATTATAAATAAATCAAAAAGAAAAACAAAGTAAAGACATCTAAAATGATGTAAGATATAGATTAATAAAATATTCTTTAATACGCATGAATGCATCATATGTTCATAGAAATAATAATAATAGTAGTAGTTGTATGAGCATTAGTAATCTAATGCGTAGGTCTAATGAGATCAGGTTAAATGACGACCGACCGATCGATCGACCGACCGCCTACCGTCAGCTGTTCATTCATTCATACAGTCTTTATATGTCTATAAAAGCAAAATATAAGACACAGACAGTATGTAAAAGGAGATGAGGGGTGTTATTGTTGTTCGTTGTACTATAATTAAACGAGTAATAGGCGATGATGGAAACATTTATACAGGAAAAAAAAGGTGTTTACTCTGGACATTAGACAAAATATTTTCTAAGTTAACCTCATTATATATTTTCTTACAAAGAAGATAGTTCATTCGTTTTTCTCATTGCGCTTTCAAAACACAAAACGGTGGACAAAATGTAAATGAACTCTTCTTGAAGTTTCATACTTACCGCCTATCATCATTTTTCGTGCAATAAATTATTTGGATCTATATAAAGATAACTATCAATCTTCAATAGAACATGCAATTGAACAGTTGATATATATTTCGAAAGGAAAAAATCAGATGTGCGATATAGTCACTCAGAGAGATGTTAGCGGTTTAGATGAAAATAAAATACTTCAAACGTTTTCCACCCTATTAATCAGACATTAAAATCTGTTAAATACATTTGAATTTGAAAAAGAAGACATAGAAGAAGACGACAACGACGACGAAGAAAAATATTTCTCATTACTTTCTTACTAGACGTAGAAAACACAACGATGTGCTATATTCAATTTCAGAAATATTTTCTAAGCATGAACACACACACATCCGTTCATCAAAGATAATGCTTAGTGACCTTCATGTTATCAACAATATAATCAACTATTTTTTATGATGCTACCACTCTTATATCGAAGATATGATAGAAAAAAAAAGTCTAATCAATAGAAATATCAATGAGTAGTTATACTCACTCTTTATACAAGTAGATGAAACTTTTATCTTTAGAAAGAGAAGACAAAGAACATGTGCATTTTTTCCAACATAATAATGAACAATCTGTATGACGGTTGGTCTACACGTTGTAATCATAAATATTCGTTGTTATTGATCATTGTCGTCAATAAACGTGAAGAAGGTAGACGTTAGATGATAGACTAAAAAAAACTAAATAGACACGTCAATGATTTTATTGAAATCGACAAGCAATAAGTAGTACGAATAATAAAAGAAAGATATTGATGAACAAGTCCTTCGTCGTCTCCTCTCGATGTATATATGCGTATGTATGTGTGTGTGTTTATGTGTGCGTTGACCTGTTTTGACGCACTGAACGAGAAGGAGGGAGAGAGACGAAGGAGAGGAGGAGAAAGAAAAAAATCGTTCGTTCGTTCATTCACCCGTTCTCTCTCTCTCTCTGTCTTTCGATCACTGTCGCTTCCGTACAGTCTTGAAGAAAAAAAAAATAAATGAAGAGCAAGAAAATGAAGAAACATTATGTTCTTCTTTCTTCTGCCAAAAGATCGATCAATTGATCGACAGTAGTTTATCTCATCGTCTTCATTTTTTTTTCTTCTTCTCTTTTCATATTCGATCTATAGCTGAATAAATCACAATCAATGTCTACGTTGTAGTTCCTTAAAAAATGATTATATTCTCTATAGGTACCACTTTCTTTTGTTAGTTTCAAGGTTTGAGTATATACTCATGACACATATGTTATATTGAGTGTGAAAAACGATTTTATTCGTAAAAAAATTTTAACATGTTTTATAATAATTGACAGTTATGATTGCATAAGTGAGCTAACTGTGATGTTCTTATTTGTAACTAAAGAATAATTCGACATGTCAAACGATTAGAAAATTGTATTTTGTATGTTAATGAATGATGTAAGTTGTCAATTGAAAAGAAGCGATAAGCCAAAAATGGAAATGTCTGGCGTTTCCCATACAGACACGTATGCATGGATAATCGGATGAATGTTATTTATATGCATGACGTAAGAATAAGAGAAGGATATAGATATTGTTTAATCCGTTAAAAGAAAATAAGACTTGCCAAACAAACAAGCTATTCATTTTGTTATTAGAATAATATGTATAACGTCTATAAAGCTTTATTTTTGTTGTTATTAAAAGACAACAATAGACGGACGGCTCCACCCCCTGTGGCTCACATTTTGTCCACATCAACGGTAAAGTAAATCACAATGGCTCTCAAGTCCCATTAACCCTGTACATATGTTGATGACGGGAAAAGTTCAGCTGTCATATTAGAATGATCAATGGGAAGCTGTCGCCCCGTTCATTTCTCAATTTTTCTACACTTGATATCGATTTACACATGGAGCATTAGACAGAGAAGAAAGAAATTAGTCTACTTCAAGGTTATTTCAAGTGTACACACACACACACATACGTTTCTTGCTCGCCAGATTGTGTTGTCACTCTTAAAACAACAGATTTTTTTCCTCCTTCAAGTAGCTACATATATATATAGACAGGAAAAAATTGACCGTCATTCTTTTGAACATCAAACAAACACATAGAATAAATCTTACAGGTATTGTTTTTTGAAATTAATTTGATGAACACTTGTATTCAGTTGTTTAATAGATCATTTTTTGAATAATCGCTATAGAAACTGAAACATTTTACCTTGAACAATTGTTTCTCAATTAATAATCCTTGAAGTTATTTACTTTGTACACGAGACATTGCCTCGACTAAAAACATAAAATATAACAATAACAATAAAAACAATATGAATGTTCTCGTAGGCAAACGCCAAGGAGAAAATAATAGTCGAAGAAAAGATTGTTGAACTTTTCTAAATAACATATCATTATAAAATTCACATGGAATGTACATATGTTAAAAATTCACAAAGAAACAAGAGAGAAAGAAGAAAAAAAATTTAGTAAGCTACTTCATCATCTTAATAACGAGTGGAATTTCATTCTTAATGATATCCTCTCTTAGTTTTCAATGAAAGAGTCATTGTACACACCTTGTCAAGGACTTACCCTCTTAAATTGATGATGAAACATAGGGAAAAAAAGTGAATCGTTGTCCAAGATAGCTTACATCCGCACTCAATACTTGTCATTCCTTTCTTCTTTCTATTTCATGTTAAATGACCAACGATACCATCATTTGGTCATTTCAAAAAAAAGAATGAATAATGCCCATAGGCTATTAGAATTATGTCATCGATGATAAATTGAATATTAAGAAGAAATCTCGATAAAAAAAATCTGTATTGTGCTGTTGCTGATGATGATGAAAGAATATATAAGCGCAATCATCATTATAAATTCGACTATATAACAAGCTGATACCGTCATCCTTCTATTTTGATTACTTACCTTATTCCGTTTATTGAATATGACAAATAAAAAAAATCAGGTGTGGAACTAAATTGAACAATGAATCTTTTATTGATTGCATAAAAAAACCCTCTTTAAAACATTTGAAGAGCATGTATTGAAATTAAAGTCAAAATATTCAAATTTTACCATTCATATAGAATATGAAACAAAAAAAAAGAAATAAAATGGCATTAGAATTTTGAACATATATATATGAATGACGCAATTCTCGTTATTTCATAGACCACAAAATCACTTCTACTGTTATTTGTCTACATATTATAGAACTTCTATTCTTTATTGAAATTTTTTCTTTCAACCTATACTAATGGCTTCTCGTGCACATGTGTATACTTGCTACTGATTTCATAATCAAACAAAGAAAAACGTCTCGGTTGACCGATGTTTTAAGAGTTCAATACACGCACATCTTTCTACATACAATCAAATCAGTAATGAAATAACTTGTCATTTTTTTGTTACGATCCGCGGAAAAAAAGAAGCGCGCCGAACACAATTGACCGATGACATTGTCTCGATCGAAGAAACAATTTGCATCCTATTTAAAATAAAGTCATCGTCGAGGACAGAATGTCAAGTGATCGTTATAATCGATACGATAATTTCTCTTGGGATTGATAATCGAACAATACAAATATAGAAGAATGTATCTATATATATATATATATAACTGTTCAATTACACAATATACATATCATAGTAATAGAAAAAAAATTTGTTGAACAGGTGGATGATAAATGATGACAATTTATGCAAGTCTTATAGATAAAAGATTCATTTTGTGATGTGTCAAATCTCAAATTACATCTTAAACATTTTTATTCAATGATTGATAGACAGAATATTTATGAAAATTGATCGAACACTGTCTGGCGTCGTCTTTTTCTTTTTTTTTTGTTAAAATAATATTGCATGTCAATAGGATGAGTAAGAACAGTTTTACATTAATTAGTGATCTTACCTTATCTCATCAAAAGCCGGATAACAATATAAGAAAACGGAAATAAATGAAAGCTCATTCTTCCTTTTACGTGTGTATGTATGTATGTATATATCTATATATATTATAGAGGTACCATAGTCATGCAATAGCTAAAAAGAATAATTATGATAGAAAAAAGTACAATACTGATGTATTCGATCGTGAAAAGAATTTAACCTTGGACTATACTTAAATATATAGATTAATAATCAGCTTGAGTAACAATGACAATTTACAGATGTTTGATGAAATGAAAATAATGTGAAAGAAGTCATTGTTATTATTAGGTTTGCTCATGAGAATATAACAATGAATCAACTAAGCCAGATATGATCTGCATTTATACTATTGAAATGAACTCGATATTGTGTATGAAATGGAATGAAAACGACATTTTTCTCTTTGTGAACATTTGCAAATGCATGCGATTGACTAACGATCAATTAAAGATGATTAGTTGACTGATAAAGAAGTTGACAAATGAAGACTAACACGCACACATACCAAACATGTTCAAGAATGGACAACAATGATGACACGATTTTGTCGTTTTTTTTTTCTATTCATTCATTGTACAAAGATAAATTAATATAAATTTATCCTTTCTATAAACACATGATCAACTATAGATTATTCTCTATCTAGTATTTCATGTGAGACCTTCGTAGAAAATTGAATTCTATCATTTTATGTCTCTATACAAAATTACATTTCAGTATTAATTAGAATAATAAAGAAAAAAAGCTGAAATGTAAATTATTTTGTTCATATAGCGAAACAAATAAGTAAGCATCCTTCAAACATATCTAATTACATCACATTTTGCTTTGTGAATATGTATAATTCACAGATTAGCTTCTAATCTTTTTTCCATAATGCTCGCATAACTCATACATATATACATATGTATATATCTGATGCCTTAAGGCTAACCGACAATAACTTTTCTCTTTTTTTTTTGATACCCGTGTTAAAACAATTAGATGACAAATATGTTACTCTAATTATTGTCATCATAGTGAGAATATGCCTTTAAGCAAATCACAAATCATTTTTTTTTATTTACCATCTTATACCTATGTGATTTAGTACAAATAACAAATTTATCATTCTACTCTATGATCTTCTTACCGATATCAAATGTGTCAGTGATTATTTCCCTTAGGCTATTCGATGACAATAACCTTTCGCATGAGTAAATTTCATTCGTATCATCATATATTCTCTTTGAACAAATAACATAAGAGAGAAAATCAAGGTGAGAGATATACAACTGATATCACTTGTGGTGTTTTCTTTGCATAATGAAATCGATAAACTCATGAACAAATAGAAATTTTTGTTTAATATTTACATTTGAAAAACAATACGAAATAGAGAAGGATAAAAATTGAAATGATGATCAACAATATTTGTTTTCATTGTGTCTAAAGGGGAAATATGCATGAATAGATTTAACAACAATTCTCTTCTCAATGTTAAAATCACGAATGTTCAATGAATTTTATTATAGATGTACGTGATATTGTGAAAATATAATGTGATGTATTTCTAATTAGTTTTTTTAAAAGATCAACTGATAATCTATTTTCGTCTCAGTTGGTGATATTTTGTTTTGTTGGAAAAGAGAGAGAGAGAGGTATTCGTTTTCAATTAAATAATAGAGGTGTCGATGAATATGACGAGGTGAAGCAACCTAGTGTGACTGAATATGAACGATAATTTTGCTTCCATGTAGAGAAGAGTGTCAATTTTTTTTTCAAAATTTGATGACTGCTGTTTTTGAGTTACGCGATTGCGTGAAGATATTCAATTACCTTCTCAATAGTCAAAAAATGAAGATATTTTGCCTCGACGTAATATTTCAGTGTAGCAATAGGTGTCCAAAAGATTTTAGATAAAAATAATTCAGTTTTTATCAATTACTCTTTGATTAAAAAATAACTTACAGGGAAATATGTTAATATAGAATAAACCAAGAATCTATTGAGAAATTATTCAATGGAAGTAAGAATAGACATATATATTAAATAAATATAGGAGATTGTAAGAATTTTTTATTAAATATTTACAAATAATTATACTAGATTTGTTGATAGATATATGAAGGTCAATAAAAGAATATATTAAACTCGTATAAACTAAACAGATATTTAGTACAAGATTTTGAGAAAAAAATATTCCAAAGTGTCAATCAATCTTTATTTTAATAGTACTTGATTTCTGGCGACATCTTTTCTATGGTTTCATAGATTTTTAAGTCTTTTATGATACAAAAAAATGTGATTTCATATATATTTTAAAATATTAAAAGATTTTAATAAAGATAAATCTAACAATGAACATAGTTTACTTTTTCATTGTATTGAATTTTATTTCGAATCAACGATTGGTATATTATGGAAATAGGTTATTTATTTTTATCGATGTGTAAGATTCTTTTTCATCGTTAGTTATAATATACAAATCAAAGACTAGTTATTTTTTACAATTCACATCATTTTTTTTCCTTAAAATAATGATCAAAAATTTAAAATTATTGACGAAAAAAATTATTGTTATTAAGAAAAATCTACTAACTGTTGAATGATGAATATTCTTTGACAAATATAATTCAGTAGATTTTATAATAATCATTTCATTTTTTTCAGATGTCGACAATTGATCCATCTAATGCAATTGATGTTGATTTAACACGTTCGACAAGTGGAGTATGGCTTGTAAAAATGCCAAAATATTTATCACAAATTCTTACTGACTATGGCGATGGTGCAATAAATGGTGAAGTTGGTCGTTTAATTAAACGACCACCGCCACCCACACAACAACAGACCGGCAAAGGAGCAATACCAGTGCCACCTGGTGGTCGTACACAAGATGTTTTCTTTTGTCTTAATGATCAAATTCTGGAAAAACTAAGAGAAAAAAATCCATCAAAAGATTTTAAACCACCACCAAAAGAACATCGTTTTTGGTAAATAGACAAATATTCTATCTTGTACATATATAATGATTAGTTCTGTATCTATCTTTTATATTTTAGTTTAAGTAATATATCTGATGGTGTTCTTCGTACAGTTTATACTCGCACTGTAAATCATTCCGGTTCAGCGCCGACTGAACAAATCTCAGTTGTTGGTAAAGTTATTCAACGAGCTGAAGTTCGTCCAGTTGAAAATGAACAATATATGTCAATGAAACGAAGACAATTTGAAACATCACAAGAACCAACACGTAAAGCTCAAATGATAAATAAGAAATCGAATGTTTATGTACCAAAACGTGATCATGAAGGAAACAAAGAACGTGAACGAATGAAAAAATTAATGGGCAAACGTGTACGAAGTTCAGAAGAGACAGTTAATCGTCTTATGTTTGAAGCTTTTGCTAAAAATCAATTTATATCAATGTCAGCACTTGAAACAATAACACAACAACCAAAAAGTTTCTTACAACAACTTGTTAAGAAATATTGTAATTATAACAGTGCGGTAAGAGAAAATTTAATTAACTAGATAAAAGAAGATATATATTTTTTCTTCTTATCTTAGGGACATACATATGAATTAAAACAACAATATCGACATTATAGTACACAAAAAGATGATGACGAAGATGATGATGATATTGAAGATGATGACGATGATGATGATGATGATGACGATGATAATAATAATAACAACAATAATAATGATAATACATAAATATTCTTTTTCTTCATTCTTGATTATCTCATTTCTATACATATTGTTTAAAATCGGATATTCTGTTCTAGATTGAATATATTCTATCATAAGCAATCTTAAGAATGTCACCTGCTACTAGTGCTAGTACAACTAAAAAAAGCACCACAACAACGAAGACAACAACAAAAACGTCTTCGTCAAGTGGAGCTTTGAAAAAAGGAAAAAAGAAAATAGCCGCTGCACCACTCAAGGCTAAGGTTGAATCAAAAAAACTTGTTAATCCACTCTATGAAAAACGAGCAAAGAATTTCGGTATTGGTCAAGGTAATAACAGAAAATTAAAATTTCTTTTTGTTTTTTAGTTTAAATTTTATTTAAAATAGATATTCAACCAAAACGTGATTTAACACGTTTTGTTAAATGGCCACAATACATTCGTGTTCAACGTCAACGTAGTATTTTACTTAAACGTTTGAAAGTACCACCACCAATCAATCAATTTACACAAACACTAGATAAACAAACATCAACACAATTATTTAAATTACTTGAAAAATATCGTCCAGAATCACGTGCCGAAAAAAAACTTCGTTTAAAACAACGTGCTGAAGAACAAGCTAAAACCAATAAACCAGATCGACCAACAAAACGACCAAATGGTCTTCGTAGTGGAATGAATACCGTTACTTCATTAATTGAAAAAAAGAAAGCTCAATTAGTATGTTTAAATAAAGACAAATCATTTCTACTTCTTTTTCTTACAGGTCCTCATTGCTCATGATGTTGAACCAATTGAACTTGTTCTTCATTTACCAACATTATGTCGTAAAATGGGTATTCCATATTGTATTGTTAAAGGAAAAGCACGACTTGGTCGTCTTGTTCATTTAAAAACATGTTCATCATTAGCTTTAACTGATGTTAATACTGAAGATAAATCTGGTTTAGGTAAAATCATTGAAGCTGTTAAAACTAACTTTAATGATCGTTATGATGAATTACGTCGTCATTGGGGTGGTGGTGTTTTGGGTAATAAATCTCAAGCACGTATCAATCGACTTGAACGTATCAAATCTCGAGAAGCAGCACATCAACGAAATTCATAAAACAAATAGCATAAGAAGAATATCCAGAAAGCAAAAAAAAATACAAGAATATCTCGTTTTTTTATTTTTGTTTTTCTATTTGTATGTGTGAATTGTTTTGATTATAAAAACATCAGAATAAAAGAGACAAAAACAAAAAAAGAAACATACAACAATGAAAACAAAAATAATGTCTTGTTAATTTATTTAGATAGATTCAAAAGAAAAAAAATTATGTCATCAGATGAAGAAGAACGTAAACTTAAAAAAACAATTTTTAAAAATCCAGTTGAAGTACAAAAAGCTCGACTTGAACGTTTAATGAAAAATGTTGAAAAACCTGTGTTTATACCAGAAAAAAAAGATTCGAAATTACCACGAGCTTTTGCACCACATGAATTTGTACGCAATGTTATGGGTAATAAAACAAAAGCAAATTATTCTAATATCATTTTTCTATTATTTATTTTTGTTTAGGAGCAAGTGCTGGTGCCGGATCTGGAGAATTTGATATCTATCGAGGTTGTCGACGACGCCAAATCATACGAGAAGCTTTTCTAAATCGTCAAGCTAAAGAGGTTTGTTTATTTTAATTCTTTTCATATGTTTAGAAAATAATCATATCATATTTTTTGGTTTTAGAAAGAAGCAAGTGAAGAATGGTTAGCAAAAGTTGAAAATAATAAGAAAAAAGCGGAAACACAAACAGCTAAAAAACGAAAAAAACGGTTTGCTTGTTTTATATTTTATTGATCAAAAATTTTTGACGGTATTTTTGTTTTTAGTATGAAACGTAAAGGAAACTCGAAAAGTAAAAAACCTACAAATGGTCAAAATTCTAATGATAAAGATGGAAAGAGTTCATCATCATCGTCAGGAAGTGATGATGAAGAAGTAGATGAAAAAACTTCAGATACAGAAACGAAGACTTCAGAAACGCCAGTCACAAAGGCAGAAGAAAACCAATCGGTTAAGGAACCTTCATCACCAGTGCAACAACAACAACAACAAAATGAAAAAACAAATATTCGACAACATTTAAGACACAGAAAAGCTAGTTCAAGTGATGAAGAAAAAGCATAAATTTCATAATTGTTTGTTTTTGTATTATAAATCTATATGTAATATATAATAAAATATCTTCTCGTACAACGTACAAAAATTTTCTTTAAAAGATATTACAAAATAAAATAAAATGTCTATAGTATTATACAATAATAATAATACTTCATTCTAATCAAATATGTTTCTAAAAATTACTGTTGCATAGAAAGAATTCAATATAGGAACTTATGATTGAAATGTATTCGTAGTAGATATGAATAAAAACGTCGTATTAGTAATTCCAGATTTGTTATATTCATAGTTGTTGATAGAATCGAAAATAATTAGCTAAAACAACAATAGCATCCTTCATTGACCTATGAAATTATGTGGCTGGAAAAAATACATATATTTACAAAAGCCGCAATAAGGCAGACTGATCTCATCTTAAGTACTTTTTCTTAGATGTAGAACTAAAGACGAAATTGTTGTATGTACATCAATCAAGACTTATTTTTGTTGCTAATAACGTTTTTGCCTTCTGTTATTTTTTTGTTTTTGTTGTTAGCTGATCTTTAACGAACCACGATGATAATATCTAAGTCCTGTAATAATAATAAGCTCTGATTCTACCACTAGAAAAATCTAGAACAAGCTCATCGTGACCCATCCATATCTGTAATGGATTATTTCATCTAGAAAATTGTTTTCGATACGCTGATTTTTGCGATATATACGATAAACACATATGCCAGACAAATGGGGATATAAATATGCTGGTAATTATTGTTTCTCTCTTCATTTATCAATATGGAATATTCTATCCATACTGTTTTTGCTTATACTCGTATATATTACCTAGTTTCTATTGATTGTGTATTTAGATCTTCTAACTTAAGCTTATCTGAAAATCATCCATGGCCGCTACACGCGAACGCAGCTTGATCTTAGTTAAACACGATGGTGTTCAACGAGGACTTGTAGGAGAAGTCATCCGTCGATTTGAAAATCGTGGATTCAAACTCATTGGTCTTAAATATGTTCAAGTAAATCTTTCACTACTATTATCAATGTTTCTTTTTTATAACGAGAATCAATTTCTATATTGTAGGCTACACGTGCTCAACTTGAAAGTCACTATGAAGATCATAAAGGTAAATTCTAGATATAAAAAATCGCTTATTTTATTTTTTAATTCTTTTTAGGCAAAGATTTCTTCGAACCACTCTTAGCTTATGGTAGCTCAGGCCCAGCTGTTGCTATGGTTTGTTATCGTTTTCTTTTTCAATATTTTTCTAATAGATATTCTCGTTTAGGTATGGGAAGGACATGGTATTATCACCGCTGGTCGAGCAATTCTCGGAGCAACTGATCCAATCAAAGCCCAACCAGGTACAATCCGCGGTGATTATGCTACTGCTGCTGGACGGTAAGTTTTATATTTATTATGCATTGACAAAAAAAAATCTATTTTTAATTTTATTCAAGAAATCTTGTTCATGGCAGTGATTCAGAAAAAGCCGCTAAACGTGAAGTTGATCTCTGGTTCAAAGCTGAAGAACTTCTTACATGGCACAGAGCTGGCGCCCAACATTTACATGATAAATACAGCAATGAATAAGCAATAATATAAATTCAGTCAAATCATATCAAACATTTGCTTCCTTTGCTACCCATTCTTTTCTTTTTTCTTAGTTTGTGTTTAATTGATAAACGTAGAATAAATAATATAAAAGGCTTTAGAACAGTTTGTCAGTAGAACCTGGCTAAACTAGTTTATTATGCAAAGAATAAATGTTATTTACGGATTGCTAGACTTTTAGCACAAAAACAAAATCAGCGTAAAGATAAGATTGATTGGATATTCAGAAAACATACATCAAGACCTAATCAAACAACAATAACATAAAACGTATTAGGACAAAATATTGTAAGCAATTAGATTGATGTAACCCAGAAGGGTTCTATTAACTGGAAATAAGATTTAATAAACGTTGATTTGTTTTTACTGATTGTCTAGCTTTAATTTTTATTATATTGGTATATACTGTGTTGTTCTCATTAATTATTTTCTTTTGTACCAATATGTCTAACGTTGAAGTACTAAACCAGATCGATGATGATGAGTTTCTCTTTTGGTACACCATGTCAAAGAATAAATGTTCCTATGTTTTTTACGAGTAAAAAATACATTCTTTGTCATCAACATGATAATTAATGGAATCAAGTTAAAACTACTTGTTAATTTACATGTTTCAATTTTGTAATGGATAGGATTTTTAGAAATAATTACTCTTGTTTAACAAATTCCGATTCGCGTTATTAATGACTTTTATGTTTCTTTCATCTATTTGTTTGTTTATCAAATCGACAAGTAATTGTTCTGACTGGAATAGAGAAATAAATCATAGATAAAGCAAAGTGAAAAAGTATCGATATAAACTCAACAAAACGATTATATTGTTTTACTATAATAAATGAGGAAAAAGCATATGAATATGTCTATTCTACGTTCCAGATGTTCTTTTTTTGCTCGCATCATTGTTTCTCTATTGTTTTCTCTCATGAGATGTTGTCCTTGAAAAAGAACTATGACATATTTCACTCTACCAATATCAACAAGATAATCACAAAAACTTTTCGTTTACCTATAATTAAGTAAGATATTATGTTCAATTTATACTTAGATAATTTTTAATCAAATAAAGACTTTCATATCTCTCTATTATTAATTGTCATACAGTTGGAATATTTCATTTTTCTAGTAACAGAAACTGTAATTTTAAAAATAGAATATAGAAGATTGAAGAAAGCTTCTAATGACATAAATTAAACTCTTATCAAGAAAATCATTCAAATAATGAACTACTTTTTAAGTACAAAAATAGTACATGAAGTTTACTGCTCTAAAATTAGATACTCTGGTACTCATAGTTCATTTTTTCTTATAGAATTTATTGTATAAGTAACGAAGTCTTTTTCACAAATATGTTTTTCATTAATTTCATCATTTAGCGTTCACCATATGTTATTAAGTTCAGTATTTACAAAAATATTTTTTTAAGACATTTTCAATTCCATTATCAAATATTACAAAGTAGTTTCCTGTAGAACAAAAAAAGACTACATAAATAATATTTTAAAAAATAATTATTCTAGTATGCTTTTAGCAGTTTGAAAAAGTACGTTTGGCATAAATACTCTTTGTCATATTTACCGGTATGGTTTTTTTTAAATATTTTGTGATATAAAGGAAACGTATCGACTCTTGATTTTATTTTGTCGAAGGAAATGTGTTAGATTGAATATAACGAAAATAAGCCTGATCCAAGTAAGTTAATATTTTAGATATAATCAATCGGATTTGAATGGTAAATGTAAAATAATAAGTAACGAATAGCTAAGATCAGAAAGTGAATATAGTGACTCAATATTTTTCTCTGTGTATATAGCTTTCAAAACATTACCCATACTATATAAACATTAGATGAAGCAGTAGTAATTAAAGGGTAAATAACTATTATAAAATATACTGACTTTTTCTAAATTTAGTTGGTTATAATTTTATTTTTTGAGCTTTCGGTGTATACCTGTCATCATTATTAGCCAAAAATAACAAATAAAAAGAAAACAACATTAAATATAATAGGGTAGTATTTATTTGGGCAATTTAAAAATTGAAGTGAGCAGTGATTTTTCAGCAATTATATATTAGAAAATGGATAATAATGAATTAATTAAATTGTAGTAGTAGGGTGTAGATGTGGGTAACTGATGAACATAATACTCATGCTCTTACCCACTCAATATGATTATTGCTGACTCAACTTTATTGTCGCTAAACTTTTATCACTCATTCATATTATTTATTGCCCGATTAAAGTTTAGTCAATATAGTATAACTTTTATTTCAAACATATTATTGAATCATGGTTTTCTTTACCCTCATATAAAAGAACCATATAAACTTCTTTTTTTTGTATGCAAAACTAATTTTTATTTTCTTTCTTATCTTGACAGTTAAGAATCATTTTATATATTCAGATCATGATGAGTAGTATGCATATATATATATATATTTAACTTTGCTAGGAAATATTGTTTTCTATTTTACCTGTCTCAAGTCACACAGTAAATCCGATTTTTATAATCATTCACATATGTATATTGGTTTTGTATGTGGAAGCTATAATTCATCTGCATATAAAAAAATCGTCGTTTATTCTATTTTACGGACTGTCAATTAAAAATATCCAACCGTATGCTTGTTTTTCATTCTAATATTTCAATATAAGAGTATGTCTCTAGATCTATGACAGGAAATTGAATCACATATCATTTCTTTTTGTAATTACAATTGATAAATATTCTTTGTTTTGTTCTTTTTCTTATTTTCTTATATAGTGTGAAACCTCAACGTATATATTTTCTTTTATACTGATATTTCAACTATAGAAAAATTTTATATATAAGAGTGCTCCATCATCATTATTTAGAGAGGGAAAAAGAAGTTATTTTTGTGTTTAAACAGCATTGTTTCTAATAACAGCATTTTAAAAAAAGAAAGTTTAAATAAATGAGTTTTTTTTACAAACATAAACGTATATACTCATCCTCCTGTTTTGACTAATTTGAAAAATATTCTTTGATGTAGTAAGGTCTGCTCTTATACAAAAATTTAGCAGCATAAAATATTCAAAATTATATGGTTTATATAACAATACTTGACTTAAAAGAGTTAAATATATATATTACATAGATAAATATAATAAGTACAACATAATAAGATATGTTAAGGATAGGGGTATAACCAGAAGAAAGTTGGAACGGGGCCGGGCTAAGTCATCATCTGATTATGTGCCTAGAAAACATACGTCGTAGAGTATACGTTTACATGTCAGCTTTTTCATTATCGAACATATTTAATCGAAAAAAGGTGATCAGATATGAGTGAATAATCGTTATTTGTTTCATATGCATGTTAATGACAGTTGAGTACAACAAAAAAGTTTAAAAACGTAAAAGTATAAATTTTATTATATTCTTAATGAAATTAATATTTAAGTTGTCCAGTATTGACTTTCAGATATATGACAACAGCATGATATTCGTTAATTTTCTTTATTCAAAAGTAAGTTGCGAGCAGGATTTTATTCTAATGCATTCTTCAGTCAAATATTTATTTGTCAGGTTAATCTTTCTCTTTCTTTTCATTTTTATTTATAATTGGAGTTAGAAAATTATTATTACTCAAATATATTAAAAAGCGATGATGAATTACTCTTTAGAGTATTTTAGTAAAGATTAATAAATATACATAATTTCTTCATTTGTCCGTTTGCGCATCTGTTCAAAAAGATAGTTTTGAATCTTATCGAACAAATTTTCTAAAAATACGAGTAGTTATCGGGACAATTGATCTGATATAAACAGCACATATAAGAGCAGCTGAACTTCAAATTGAATATATTTAAAAAAAGAAATACCATGTAACAATAACTATTTGTAGAAAACAGGTCTTAGCCTGATAGACTTTCTGGTAATCAGTAGAGATTGATTGAATTTATCTCGAAGTTACAAATTAATAACATGCGTACTTAATTAAAGTCATAATAGTATTATTATTAGAAATATTATTAAACTCATAACGAATTGATTCAAAATCTAGTATACATAGTAAATCCTTTGTTAGTATTTATTTCTCTCAATTGAATCCATAAACAATTTTATTTTGATGTCTTTCTACTTTCTAATATATGTTTATTGTGTGCTGCAAATGATTAAATTATTGGTAATTATAATCATATATAGGATGAGTCTAAGTGTATGTATTTTAAAAGAATTCTTTTAGTTTCACAATAAATCGTATATAGACTTTCAAAGGTTAACATTTTCATATAGTTCACAAGGATTTTTCAAGAAGAATATTCTTCTCTTTTAATATCTATATTAATTAAAATCTTATTACATAAGAAATAAACAATATCAAATGAACCTCACTTTAGTTGGGAGATTGCAGTTAGATCTTTTATATTCTAGACAGTAACAAATAGCCAATAAGCAACTATGTTTTTTTAAAAAAAATTTACATCAATGAATATATTATTATTCCTTTTCCTTAAATTTTAAATTTATAGCAACAAATGGGAATAAAACATTTTCTATATTAAAATTTCCCAGTACAAACAAAGAGACCGGCAAAGTTAACAAATATTATTTTACTTTGAATGCAAAACTATTTGATCGTGAATCAATAATAGTGAATAAAATGTGCAAATAATTTAAGCTGGAAGAAACGTTTTTTTCTTCTTCCTTTTACATCATTTGATAGAGTGTGAGTTATTGATCACGACAAACTAGTTTTGATATCTAACTGAACTTGTTGTCACATGGAAAATAGTAATTACAAGATAATAGTGCTTAAGTGGAATACTAGATGATTGAGAAGTGAGTCTAAGAAGAATAAGTAGTTTTTCTCTCATCAGCTAGCTGTATCGTCAGTAATGTATACTTTGGAAGTGATTGTATAGACTTGGATGGATATAATGAATCAATTAGTCAAAATAAAATTATATCGTAATCTTATATATGCTTGATTATTCACATATATAAAATATTTCAACATAATAGTAGTTTTACTTTATCACATTCAAAAAAACGTATAAATTATGTATTACAATTATACATAAACGAGAAAAAAAACTTAATTTAAATAAAAATCAATCAATTTATAAAAATTTCTTTCATTATTTTTCCTTGAAGATTATTTAATATTTATCATTCCACTTTTTTAAATTTTATTTCACAATCCTTTCACGGAAATTTCTATATTTTCTTCTTACTTTCTACCCTACCTCTATATAATATGTGCATGGTGTTATAAATTATATCTGTGAAATTATCGAAAAGTTATTGAGATTTTTTCATTAAGTGAGAGGTGTGAGATTATAACATAACTTATTTCTAGCTACTTCCATATAATTTTGTTTTAGTCGAGCATGTGATACACTAGATGATTGTTTTACAATAAGACAAATCAACAACATTTATCTAGTTAATTTCTTTTTTTAGTAATAGTATCGTCAAATCAATGGCCAGATTTAATAATATTCTAACTGGAAAATATTATATGTTGTTCTATATATTTGTATTATCATGTATTTTGTACATTCTTTCGCAATTCTACGGTACCATACTCATATCTAAACTTACAATATTATTAGACAACAGATTTACAAAGAATAATACAACATATTACTATTATCGTTCATCATCTTATAACAAAACTAAGTTGGAACCAAATGTCTTCTTGTATTATCATCATGCAACTTCCGGTCGAAATTCATCTTATCCTTTTATTAGTGGTGATACATTTCGAGCTTTTTCTGATTATGTATATGATGAAACAAGAACAGATAATTTAAGTTCAGTAAAATATGGTGAAATTGTTTTCGTGAAAACTGATATGCTTTCAAACTTTTTTACTTCATCATTTGAATCTATACGAGAACCATTTGTACTTATTTCACATAATAGTGATTATTCTGCACCAGGAAGATATGAGAAATATTTATCAGATCCAAAAGTGCTTCATTGGTATGCATCCAATCTTAATGTCAAAAATCTTCAAAAAATATCACCTATTCCCATTGGATTAGCTAATACACGATGGCCACAAGGAAATTTAGATAATATAACATTTGCTTTTAAAAATCATCGGAAACCTTGGTCTCAGCGAACAACTTTTCTTTATGTTAACTTTGCTGTTGGAACAAATGTTGCTCAAAGAACAAAAGCTCTGTCACAAGCATCAACGATAAAAGATGTAGAAATAGTTAAAGAAAAAATTACATTTGAAACTTATTTAGAGCAGATAGGTAATTCTAAGTTTGTATTATCACCACCTGGTAATGGTCTTGATTGTCATCGAACATGGGAAGCATTATTGATGGGTGCAGTACCTATTGTTTTGGCATCTGGACTTGATCCTTTATTTACAAAAACAAGATCTATTATTATTAATGATTGGTCAAAATTATCGTACAATTTTTTATCATCATTCAATTCTTCGTTGGATGATAACTATGAACCTGATGTTTTATATGCTGAGTATTGGCGTGAAACACTTTTTAAGTATCGAAAAAAAACTGATTAATATATATCATTTCTTCTATTGAATAATTTGGAGAAAAAGAATTATTTTATATAATTACAGATGATACTGTTAACTTTTTGTATTATTAGTCAATAGGCTCAGAACAGGTGATATTTATGTTCAATTATGTTGAAAATATGTGATACTTGTTATTGTGTGGCTCATCAAATTGTTTTATTCTAACAGTTGTTATGCAAAGATTCAGTTTAATAATATATTTTTATTTAAAATCTGCAACTGTAGCTGTAGTACACTAAATGTATTCTTTTTATACGAGTGATAATGAACATTATTTTTATTGTTATTTTATGATATTATTGTGATCTTTTTTCTCTTTTGTTTTGCATAAAATAGAAATACTAAAAATAAAAGTATTTCATATGTGCTAACCATAGAAAATTTTTGTTGATAACAAATGTACATAAATATATAAAAAAAAGACCACGGATTGTGCTTGTAATGTAACTTTTGATATACACAATGTCAAGTAGAAGTGACGTATATTAAGCGTGCAGCGAAGACACAAAGCTTAGAAATATCTAGACAACATCATATGTTACTACAGAAGATAATCTACAACATCATATATAAGAAATATGAAGGCTAGGAGCAAAAGAGAAATTATACAGATTTCAAGGAAATTTTCATACTTTCTACTCTATGGCTATATAATATGTGCATAGTATTATAATTTATATCTGTAAAATTATCGAAAAGTGTTTGAGATTTTTTCGTTAAGTGGACGTACTTTTAATGTTATTTCTATTACTTGTTGTTAATGGGTAAGTGAAAATTTTAGAATTTGCTAAAATTTTGCTCTGGGTGGAGATCTAAACATACCTCATGTGAGATTATAATATAACTTATTTCTAGTTACTTCCATATAATCTTGTTTGAGTCGAGCATGTGATGCGCTAGACGATTGTTCTACAATAAGACAAATCAATAACATTTATCTACTTATTTTCTTTTTTTAGTAATAGTATCGTCAAATCAATGGTCAGATTTAATAATATTCTAACTGGAAAATATTATATGTTGTTCTGTATATTTGTATTATCATGTATTTTGTACATTCTTTCGCAATTCTACCGTACCATACTCATATCTGAACTTACAATATTATTAGATAATACAGTCGCAAATAATAATACAACATATTACTATTATCATCATGCAACTTCAGATCGAAATTCGTCTTATCTTTTTATTAGTGGTGATACATTTCGAGCTTTTTCTGATTATATATATGATGAAACAAGAAACGATAATTTAAGTTCAGTAAAATATGGTGAAATTGTTTTTGTGAAAACTGATATGCTTCCAAGTTTTTTTAATTCATCATTTAAATCTATACGAGAACCATTTGTGCTTATTTCAATCATTTAAGTTTTCTTTGAATGATAATCATGCAGCTGATGTTTTATATGCTCATTATTGGCGTGAAACAATTTTTAAGTATCGAAAAAAAAACTGATTAATATATATCATTTCTTCTATTGAATTATGTCGAGAAAAAGAATTATTATTTTATATAATTATAGATGATATTGTTTAATTTTTTCATCATTTATCAATAGACCCGGAAAGAAAGCAAGTGATATATATGTTCAATTATGTTGAAAATATGTAATATCTAGCTTCTAACTGACTATTTATATGAAAAAAAATGTTCAGAGAAAGAACTGAATTTCTTGTTCTAGAAATAATCTTGACATGAGCATTGTCCATTTGTGTAAAAATGATGAATTCGATTTGCATCACGAACAATTATTTCACATTGACGAATTGAAGCTATTAATTTTGTTGCGCGATCTATGAAGAAAGAGAAAATGAGAGGAAAAATCTTCAATGATCACTTACGACAATCACCACAAACTCGAAGATTATTTGTCACTTGAATTAATGATGCATGGGGATTTTCTACAAAATTCCATGCAATTGCAAGTCTTTCACTATGCCCACACAGTGTTGATTCAACAGTTTCGTCCAGATCTAACGGTCGTGTAATCCAACTTGCATCGTATTGATGACCGTGTTCAATAAGTTCGGCAGATATTTTTTCAATTTCAGCATAGATTTTCTTAGCTTGTGGATGAGATTGATCATGAGCTCGAAATTGCTAAAAAAATAAAATAAAATCATTGAATGTCATCTGTGTAAAAAGCTTTTATAGTTCTAAACTTACAAAAAGTTGTCCATTGACTGCAGTTGTTGACACACCGACTGTTCTCCTCACACCCGATTGTTGTAATTGAATTTTGATATCTGATGCCTTGCCAATTTGTCCTGTCGATCCATAAACATTGGCAAGAAGGATTGAAGCTGAATTCAATGAATCGATCATTTGAGGAAAAAGTTTCTTCATACGATCAACAATTTGTTGTGATAAATGACTATTATTTTTATTTCGAACACCTGATAATAGTGCCACTAAAATGAAAATAATCAAATAAAATTGATTTCTTAGATATCTGCCAATCTTATATTTCTATTTTAACAGGCTAACATCTAATCAACATACAAATCTTCATAATATTTCAAGAGTACTTACTATACATAGCCCATCCAGGAAGATGATCACATTCAAATTGATCGATCAGTTGTTGTGCTTCTTCAAAACGAGATGCACGACTGAGACAATCAATCTTGTAGAATAAAAATTGATCAAAAAACAAACGTATTATTTAGTTTACCATAACAGTATAAATTTTTTCTGTTTTCATTTGAATATTGTTGAATATCGAACGAGCTTGTTGAACAAGTCCAGAATGTGAACAGGCGTTTAGAACACAAACATAAGTTGATTCTTGTATCAAATGTGATGGAACTTTATGAAAAAGTTCAATTGCTTCAATACCCATTCCATTTAAACCATAAGAATTAACTAATCGATAAAAAAATCATTTCTATTTTCAGAGGAAAATAAATAAACTGACTCATTACTGTATAACTGGTTTCATCTAGTTGAGACATATTTTCAAAAACTTTCTTTGCTTGATCCACACAGCCACTTTTTCCCTAATGAAATTTTTTTAAATAGAAAAAAAATCACGAAGAAATTTACTTAAACTAACCCACATATCAATTAATGCATTTTGAATATGATTATTCATAAGAAAACAATTTGGTATTTTTTCAACAATCAATTCACACATCGATAAAATACCAATTTGAGAGAGACCATTGATAGTAATCAGATAAATAACAAGATTTGGTTCTTTTATTTGATTAAATAGATCAATTGCTTTCGTTGGCATATTATTTATTATAAAACCTTTAGAAAATTGAGATTAAACAATTTATAAATATAAAAATCAATTTTCTACCTTTCATCATTGCTCCAAACATAGGCAAGATTTTTTTTATTGATTTATCAAACAATAATTAAGCATATTTTACATCACCACACTTCATTAGTGCATCAATTAAAGAAGTCAAAAGATAAAGATTTGAATAAGAAGATTTAGGAAGTTTTGATAAGACATTTTTCACTAAATGTAATGCTTTAGACGTTTTTAATTCAGCACAAGCATCAAACAAAAGACTAATAATAACTTCATCAGGATTTTTAATCTCATTGAAAAGATCGATCGCTTTATTTGGCATATTATTTTTGATATAACCTTAAAATAGTTACATCAATTAATTAGGAGCTATAAAAATTCTTTATACCTTTCATCATTGCACCATACATGAATAATGTTTTCTTTGTTGAGTTATCAAACAAAGATTGAGCATGTATTACATCACCACACTTCATTAGTGCGTCAATGAGAGAAGTTAAAAGATTTAAATCTGAATACGAAGGTTTTTGAAGTTTTGATGAGACATTTTTTATTAGATTTAATGCTTCATGTGTTTCCAATTGAGCGCAAGCATTAAAAAAGAGAATTAGAATAACTTTATCAGGATTTTGAATTTGATTGAAAAGATCGATCGCTTTGTTCGGCATATTATTTTTGATATAACCTGAAAATAGTTCAATTATTTAGGAAATATAAAAATTTTTTCTACCTTTCATCATTGCACCATAAATGAATAATGTCTTATTTGTTGAGTTATCGAACAAAAATTGACTAGATGGAACAGCACCACATTGCACTTAGGTGAAAGCAGGTCAGAGCCAATTCTATAAGATAAACTTACTATAGAAATGAATTAATGATGTTAATATTGCAGAGTTTTTTTCGAAACGAGATGAAAGAAATTGATGAATAGTTGAACCACGTTGTAGATCACCAGTTTGAGCACATGCTTTCAAAGCTTGTGTTATTGTCAAAGTGGATAATGACTGAGTATTATTTTTCTTGTATTTATCAAATAATTCGAGTGCTTTTGTAAATTCTTTCTGATTATTCAATAATTTCATTTGATTACCCAAATCAAAATCAGATTTGATAATCAATGAACGTTTTTTAAAAACTATTAGAGATACTGAACGATGATTTAATAATTTGTTTAATATTATATTAGTTTTGTTATCAATTCTTTGACTACAAAATTTTAAATCACTTATTATACTGAATTATTAAATGTCAATATATGACCAATTAAAAATCAATTCAATTGGATTATCTACTTATTCTACTATAGAACAAAAGAAATAGTAAATTTCTCTAGCCTTTTCAGATGGACAGGTGTCACTAGTTATAGATAAGATCTTTTTAATCAACTGTTAGATAACATTCTCTTTTATGTATATACATATATATATGTATGCGTATTACCTTATCAGTCGGCTTTGTCTATTACGTTTTTATTGTTTACAGAGTTGCTCTCTGTACGCGCGCGCGAGTCACTACAAAATAGAATTAATTCAAAAACAAGTGAACAAAATATTCTTTTATTTATTTATAAAATATCCTTCATAACTTCTTTTTTACAATTTCAATACTCTCTTTCACACTTTTGATGTCAGGACGAGTTGGAGATAATGCATGTTGTCTGATGTTCAGGGCACGTTCAAAATATGAAAGTGCTTTCGAATAGTCTTTCATATTGTAACACACACCAGCGATGTTGTTGTATGAAGTAGCTAATGAAGGGTGATTTGAAGGAAGAGTTTTTTGTTTAATTTCAAGTGCTTTTTCGTAAAATAAAAGTGCTTTTGAGTACTCTCCATTCTCGTTATACACCAAACCGATGTTGTTGTACGAAATAGCCAAATCAGGATGATTTGAAGGAAGAGTTTTTTGATCAATTTCAAGTGCTTTTTCGAAATATGGAAGTGCTTTCGAGTACTCTCCCATGTTGTTATACGCCAGACCGATGTTGTTGTACGAAGTAGCCAAATCAGGATGATTTGATGGAAGAGTTTTTTGTTGAATTTCATGTGCTTTTTCATAAAATGAAAGTGCTTTCCAGTACTCTCCCATCTTGTCATACACATCACCGATATTATTGTATGAAGTAGCCAAATTAGGATGATTTGAAGGAAGAGTTTTTTGCCAAATTTCAA